AATAAAGTTCATAATTAAGATATTAATCCTTAATCAACAATATATCCTGATAGTTTTTTCATTTTCAATAATAACCCAATTGTTTCAATCATAATCTTAAAAATCAATACATTTTTTTTACTTTCAATATACTGTGCTATGTTTTCAAATATATAAAGTTTGTTTTTGTTTTGTTATTTATTAAGTTAATAAAATGAAATGGTACAATGTCTGTGCAGTGCTTGAATGCTTAACCCTTAAAGCAGCATGCCTCCAGTCTCATTCATGCTAATTTTCATGAAAATTTTGAAAATGTATTCAAAAGTAAAATATTGTGGAGTGAACATTGCAAATGGTGCTTACAAATCCAAGTAAATTACCAAAAAGTGGTCCAAATATGCAAAAATAGCCTTTTCTGTATTAATAACCCAGCAGAAATAGTAAAATCAGTCATTATAATTGCACACAACATGTAAATTATTACTTGAATCTTGGAATCTATTAAATTTTACTTTTCTTAAAATCTTAGTACTGTACACTTTTCTCAAATTTTATTTTCTTGAAATATTTTATCTCATTTGGAGGCATACAGCTTTAACCAGTTTGAACTTAACCTTTGCCACCAGCAAAAACCAGGCCTTGAGACTGCACATCTGTTTGTAGCTCTCTTTTTTTGTATTTTTAACTTAAATCCATAAGACTTCAAATGGAACGTTCCAAACTAGAACTGCCACTATCATGGCGTGAATACCCCCGCATACCACTTTGTCAGAATCAACAGTGGCCATTTAGAGCTCAAGGACAACCTCCCTGCCAAATCTGAGGTTACTAAGCCAGTGCATTGCTAAGTTATGTATTCTACATGCTTCAAATGTGAAAATGTCAAAATCAATACATTGCAGACAGGACATTCTTTAGCAATTAAGAAGAAAAGCTTTTTTTTGTCAAGGTCCCTGTGACCTTGACTTTTGACCCAGTGACCTCAAAATCAATAGAGGTCACCTTATAGTCATGATCAACATCCATGCCAAATATGAAGACTGTGGGTCAAAGGAATCTTAAGTTAATGGGTGGACAAACTTTTTGAAGTGACAGTCCCTATGACCTTGACCTTTGATCCAGTGACCTCAAAATCAAAAGGGGTCATCTACTAATCACGATCAACATCCATGCCAAATATGAAGACTGTGGGTCAAAGGAATCTAAAGTTATTGGGCAGACAATCTTTTTGAAGTCAAAGTCCCTGTGACCTTGACCTTTGACCTGGTGACCTCAAAATCAATAGGGGACATCTACTTATCATGACTAACCTCCATGCCAAATATGAAGACTGTGGGTCAAAGGAATCTTAAATTATTGGGCGGAAAATCTTTTTGAAGTCAAGGCCCCTGTGACCTTGACCTTTGACCCGGTGACCTCAAAATCAATAAGGGTCATCTACTAATCATGACTTACCTCCATGCCAAATATGAAGACTGTCGGTCAAAGGAATCTTAAGTTATTGGGCGGACAAGCTTTTTGAAGTCAAGGCCCCTGTGACCTTGACCTTTGACCTGGTGACCTCAAAATCAATAGGGGTCATCTTCTAATCATGACTTACCTCCATGCCAAATATGAAGACTGTGGGTCAAAGGAATCTTAAGTTATTGGGCGGACAAGCTTTTTGAAGTCAAGGCCCCTGTGACCTTGACCTTTGACCTAGTGACCTCAAAATCAATAGGGGTCATCTACTTATCATGACTAACCTCCATGCCAAATATGACGACTGTAGGTCAAAGGAATCTTACATTATTGGGCGGACAAGCTTTTTGAAGTCGAGGCCCCTGTGACCTTGACCTTTGACCTGGTGACCTCAAAATCAATAGGGGTCATCTTCTAATCATGACTTACCTCCATGCCAAATATGAAGACTGTGGGTCAAAGGAATCTTAAGTTATTGGGCGGACAAGCTTTTTGAAGTCAAGGCCCCTGTGACCTTGACCTTTGACCTAGTGACCTCAAAATCAATAGGGGTCATCTACTTATCATGACTAACCTCCATGCCAAATATGACGACTGTAGGTCAAAGGAATCTTACATTATTGGGCGGACAAGCTTTTTGAAGTCAAGGCCCCTGTGACCTTGACCTTTGACCTAGTGACCTCAAAATCAATAGGGGTCATCTACTAATCATGACTAACCTCCATGCTAAATATGAAGACTAAGGGTCAAAGGAATCTTAAGTTATTGGGCGGACAAGAAAAAACCGACGGACGGCCGGATGGCCGGACGGACGGACAAGCTGATTCCAGTATACCCCCCTTACAACTTTGTTGTGCGGGGGTATAATAATTAAAAGCTGGGCAAATCCATTAACACAAATTCAAGTTAAGGGTTATAGTGATTTTGCATTTCTTTTATCTACTAATAAACTGTTTAAAATTCAAAGCACATCAACTCAGGTGTAAAAATTCAGGACAATGATATTATAGACACATACCTGGATTATACACTAGTACTATGCTAGATGTTCTTTTTAACATTAACAAGTATCATTGAATATAATATCTCCACTTTCTTAATTTATTAAGAGGTGTCCACTTTCAGAATTTTAGTGGTGGAAAATACTTTTCATCAGACATGGTCAGAATTCTCAACGAGATTTACTTTACTAACAAGAAGCAGACGTTTTAAGAAGTACATGTAAAACTCTTCCTACTTAAATCAGGAGACACTAAGCTTGTAATCTCTCACTCTCCACCCCTCCCCCAAGCCCAAAAAGATAAAATATAGAAAAATAAAATAAAGCAGTATTTAAATATTTCCAAGTATAAATAGTTCTCACAACTAGCAATGATGTGTATACCAGCAATCATTGATCATACTCAAAAAGAATTCCATGCATAGCATCATTATTTTTTAAATAAAAACCTCAGATCATGCCTGCAAATTTTCTATCCTTTAACTCTCATTCACAATCAAATTAATCCATCATTTTACTGCATTGTTCACAATCCTATCAATACAGTAATCAAAATAGACATCCATAGCATATCAATAGCTTTTATAGTTACTCAATCCATATCCTGATAATGCTTATTACGTTTCATGATGTCATGAAATTTATATTTTTTTGTACTTTTGTTATCAATATCTTCTGAAAATCAATTTTTTCCGCTGTAGTAAATATCGCTTAGATTTCCAATCTAACACCTAGGCCATTGTTACCGGGTTATTTGCCATGCCTCACAGAACATAAAATGTTCCACTTGGTTACAAGATTTATTAATTATTGATTTCTTTAGAAAATCGGCTTTCAGAAGGTCCCAGTTGAGTCTCAGAATAAATTTTATATAATCTTGGTTTCCACTTCTTGTGCAGACAAAATCAAAATAACAGGTTTTGCTTTAATTAGGTAAACACATTAAGGAAATTGTAATAATATCATAAATAAATAAAAGATCTGTTACACATTATATGACAATTTTTTTTCATACAAGATCCTTGCCATTTAGTAAGAACTCATTATAGTCAGGCAAAGTTTTCTAGAAGTGGATGGGATATCGGCTAAAACTCTTGTTACTGACAGTTTAGGTGTTACAGTATAGCATAAATATTTCTGACACAAGTTCTTTAAAATATTTTAGTCTTTAACCAGTATTATATCCACTTCATACTTACATGCATTTTTTAACTGAAACAAGTATTAAACACTTTGAAAACTCTGAAAACCTTGGTAAAGCTTTTGCTCCAGAACCAACATGGTATTAAACAGGCAAATTACAAAATCATCATAATCGTAAAACAGTTGCCCATTCATAATCAACATTTACTACATAGCAATAAAATGGTTTATATTTTCTTCCTTTAATCAGTATATATTTTGGAACCTTTTTTATGCTACCTCAGTGATATTTGGTCTCATGATGAAGTTCTATTCAGTTATACATCTTTCCTGAAATCACGATTCACTACGGAGCACCCTCTAAGTATTTAACTTTTCAGTCATACATTTTCCTGAAATCACAATTCACTATGAAGCACCCTTTTAGTACCATCTGCTGTGAAAACAGTTTCTGGAATGTTCGCTGTTCCATTATGAAAAATTTTATCACAGATGTCTGTAATAATCATACTTCATTTTGAAGCATTCTTTTATAGCTAATTTATTACAAGTTGAAACTAGCATCTACTGTGGAACATTCTCTACTTTCAAACTTGTTCATATCATACTTATGGTGAAACACTGTCATCACAGGAAATTTTCAATAATTAAATCTCAAGATGGAGCATCCTACAATAACTAGTGCTGAATCCTTTTTCTTCTTTGGAACATTCTGTGACCCAGCTTGGAACATTTCATTGAATGTTTTGATGCAATAGAAATTTCTCTATAATGTTATCTCTGAAGTATTGCAAGATGGTCTCCCTAATATCCTTCCAATTCCATGTCAGTAAATGGATTTCTTGGAACATTTATCTTCCAGCTTTGAAATCAATTTTGAATTGTCTTATGATTATAATGTTAATTTTTCTTTCCAATATTTTGCTCGCCAATACTGTCTACAAGAGTATGGCACTCATCTTTATACCATGATCTGTCATGGAAGCAAGTCTTTGGTAAAAAGACTGAAATCTGGATACCCATCTTGTCATTTAGGTAACAGTAGCTTGTTTCCATTGTGAAACATCCTGTGTTAATTTGGTGAAAACTTCTATTCAAACAAGCCATTTTTTCTATGATCAAAATTTTGGCAGATTGTGTATTTGATAGGAACATTATTTTAACCCTTTGGATCCCATCATGAGTCTTAAATTACTAAATGAATAATCATTATGATCATACATTATATCACAGGAACTTGAAATTCTATCAATATTAACGATAATATCCAAAGAATACCACCTATACTCAGTAAGTAACACTTTATTTATGTATCTGTTTTGGATATTCTCGTATTAATGTTTATAAAATTTCAAGTTCCTGTGATTATACAATACATAAATAATGTACAACATAACATATTGTGTTCTGAACTTACCTGGTATTTGGAATCCGCCATATTTAATGTATATCTGATATTTTCCCGGTTCTTCAGGCTCGTACAGGTAATCTTTCCAGAGATAGCCGAGTTCTCTTGAGTCATAGACCACATCTATTCCTGATGGTCCTACTATTTGTATCTCCTGATCTAATGTGCCAGCATTACTGAAGTCAACTGTAAATTAATTTCAAACCAATAACATATGGGATTATTTCATTATTTAATCAGTGCTTATTATATAAAGTACCTTTAGTATATACATGTACATGTAAATTGTTTATATCTTTCTTTTCATAAGTAATCTGTTTTGTATTCTTTCCTGGATCTTGATTAAAACCATAGATTAACATCATACATTTAGTGTATTTGTTACAGTAAGAAAATGCTGACCAGTAGTAAATAAAATACTGCAAAAAATGTAATTTTGTCTATATGAAATGAATACAATAATGAAGAACTTGAAGAAGGGATTAATAATCCCAAAACTAGTAGTTACTATACATAAGCTCAAAACCATTAGGTGCCACACACGTTATATTCTCCCCTCCCCTTTATTTCTATCCCAAATACAATACTAGATCAAACCAGAACAAGACCTCCTGCTGAAATATACCACACTATCTTTCTCAGTGCTTTACATTGAAATTAAACCAAAATTGAGCAAGATTGATCACCTCATGCTGTGTTAATATTCATCTGTTAAAAATTCCAAGTTAAAAGGGACATAACTCCAAAAATATTTCTTTCAGATTAATGCCCCTTGTCTAAAAACTGCCTTTGGTGATAAGAAAGAATTTCGAGTTTCATGTTGATACTTTTAGAAATGTTTGAATAATGGGCTATATTAAAGTTTTTGCACAACAACAACAATGACGGCGACAACAAGGTTGTCAACAACGAATTCGCCACAGCGGTCATAATATCTTGACTTTTTCTTCTTAACTTGGCTGCACAATGAGTATAGGAAAACAAGGGCTACAGAATGTTGCCAAATGGATAAGACAATAACTCATCAAAATTTCAGAGACAATTTTTGTAAAACATTTTCAGGTGAGATTATTATACACAATACACATACCACTGAATCCAGCCTCGTCACCAACCGTTCCGTGCCTGAAGTTATCTATCCTGATGGTTGATAAGTCAAACACATCCACGTAGAATGGACTACCGTCAATTTGTACACCAGAAAACTGTACATCAATTGTATGGCGTCCTGTAATTTATCATTACATATGTGTTAATATGTTTATAAGTCTGTATATGATCATAAAGTTAATATGACATCTTAAGAAGTAAAATTTTATATTGAAAATCCTTGACATAACTATGAAAAAATATATCTAATAATTTTAGTCAATAATATATTTTTAGTCATCACCATATAATCAAATTTTGGTATCATATGTTGAATAAAACATTATTAAAACTAAATCAAGTAGATTTTGTGAACTTGACATAGCGATATAATAACACCTATTTTATTAATATTATATTATAGAATACAGTTTAACCTGTATAACACATCTCTAAATATGACCATGTGATATAAAACCTGTCATAAAGGACCAACTTTTTATTTTCCGATTTTAAATGATGTGATGTAAGATTCTATTATTGTCACCAAAAGTAGCCTGTAGATGTTTTCAGACCCAGTTAATATACGGGCTACAGAAAAAGGTATAATGATGACATTTTACGGATCTCACCTGGCATTCTGGGCATCCATTCCACCTTGTATTCACCATTACCCTGGTTATAAATATCAGCATGTACCCTATCACCTGTCGGAGCTGAAATTTCAAAACAAAACAAAAAACCTTAAAAACTGTTACCTTGTCTTTACCCTGTTAAACTAGTCTGAAGGATTTACATTACTCTGAATGGAATTTAAATTAAAACAGACATACATACTATAATGTCCTGGACATCCAGGACTGTCCCGGATATAGGGTGACTGTCATAGAGGCATTTTGGAGATGATTTATGCCCCAGTAAAAAAAATAATCTTAAACAGTGTATTTAAATAATGTAAAAAAGATAACCAATAATATAAAGTCTGGGCCAGAATGTCAATGTTGCAGTATTTACTATACAATATTGAGGTGGTGTTACTAGGCTAGACTTTATTTCATTACAATTCTTAAAGATTATTTTACATTCACAGGTAAAAATTTGGCCAATTCATCTTTATAACTTTGAAACAAGAAACATGGCAATGCCATGAAACCAGGTTTTCAATTATCACCATTGTAGATAAATATGTTGTAGTTGAAATACAAGCAACAAACAATGTAACTATAAGCAATGTAAATCATGAATAATGTAGGAGGAATTGCATACAGAAGAAATTGTTCACTATATATTCTATATAAAAAACAAAACAAAGGGCCATAATTAGGTCAAATATTATACAATCACAAAACCCCAACACTATGCGCCAGAGCACTTGATGACAAAGCTTCTGTGAAAGTTTGGTCAAAATCCGTTGAAAAATGTAGGAGGAGTTGCGCACAGAAGAAATTGTTCAATACATTCTATATAAGGAAAAAAACCAAAGGGCCATAATTACGGTAGGTCAAAAATTATCCAATCACAAAACCCTGACAATATGCGCCAGGGCACTTGATGACAAAGGTTCTGTGAAAGTTTGGTCAAAATCTGTTGAAAAATGTAGGAGAAGTTGCGCACAGAAGAAATTGTTCACTATATATTCTATATAAGGAAAAAAAACAAAGGGCCATAATTAGGTCAAATATTATCCAATCACAAAACCCTGACAATATGCCCAAGGGCACTTGATGACAAAGCTTCTGTGAAAGTTTGGTCAAAATCTGTTGAGAAATGTAGGAGAAGTTGCGCACAGAAGAAATTGTTTGCGCCCGCCCGCCAGCCCATCTGCCCGCCGACATACCTCAATCTAATAACAAGTTTTTTCCTTCGGAAAACCTGGTTAATAAGTTTCAATTATAACTATTAAAGATTATAAGCAGTAAGACAAGTTTGCCAGATTTATTTATAACATGTTATTTTACAAAGCACATTCACCATGTATATAATGTAATGAATGAATGTGAAAATTACATAAGAATTTGAGCAATAGTAACATGCTATGTGTTAAAAAAAGTAAGTTACTTGATATACCCAGTGACAAACATTGTATTAATATTCAATATTGAAGAGGAAATTGGTTGAATGTCTTCATAATTAAGAAAATTAAAAATTTTATTCATTGCTAAGAAAAGATCTGAATTGAGATTTTAATCAATAAATTGAGTTTGCCATAAAATGAACCAATATTGGCAGGCATAAAATAACATTAAATATAATAATATTAAAACAAATCTTTAGAAAAATCCAAAGTGTAACATTACCCCACCCACCACCTGAAATCAGTAAAAATCATTGCAAAATTATAACATATGGTAACACATTACAACAATGGTTATACAATATGGTATATAAACTACCACCAAAAATAATACAGGTAAATAATAAAAGACATAACACCATGCTTGAAAATTTATTATAAAGAATATATCAGTAATTCCTTTCATTTATATATATACATATAAAAACCTAACATAGAATACACATTCTCAAATCAAATAATTTTCCCCAAAACATTGTTAAACCTTTCCCATGCATCAAATATAACTAAACAAGATATGTTTGTAAAACATGTATGCCCCCTATCAGCAGCCAATTAGTCATGTGATAAGGTTATTATGCATGACTTCTGACCCAGTGATCAAACAATTAATAAGGGTTATAAAGTATCTACTGGTCATGACCTTGACCTTTGACCTCTTGACCCAAAACTCAATAGGGGTCATCTGCTGGTCACGACCAATCATCATACAAAGTTTTTACCTACAAGGTCAATGTGACCTTGCCCTTTAACCCCTTAACCCCAAAATCAATAGGGGTCATCTGCTGGTCATAACCAATCACCATACCAAGTTTGAAGTTCCTAGGCCTTAAGGTTCTTTAGTTATTGATTGGAAACCGTTTTTACCTACAAGGTCAATGTGACCTTGACCTTTGACCCCTTGACCCCAAAATCAATAGGGGTCATCTACTGGTCATGACCAATCACCATACCAAGTTTGAAGTTCCTAGGCCTTAAGGTTCTTTAGTTATTGATCGGAAACCGTTTTTGCTTTCAAGGTCAATGTGACCTTGACCTTTGACCCCTTGACCCCAAAATCAATAGGGGTCATCTACTGATCATGACCAATCACCATACCAAGTTTGAAGTTCCTAGGCCTTAAGGTTCTTTAGTTATTGATCGGAAACCGTTTTTGCTTACAAGGTCAATGTGACCTTGACCTTTGACCCCTTGACCCCAAAATCAATAGGGGTCATCTACTGATCATGACCAATCACCATACCAAGTTTGAAGTTCCTAGGCCTTAAGGTTCTTTAGTTATTGATCGGAAACCGTTTTTTGCTTTCAAGGTCAATGTGACCTTGACCTTTGACCCCTTGACCCCAAAATCAATAGGGGTCATCTACTGATCATGACCAATCACCATACCAAGTTTGAAGTTCCTAGGCCTTAAGGTTCTTTAGTTATTGATCGGAAACCGTTTTTTGCTTACAAGGTCAATGTGACCTTGACCTTTGACCCCTTGACCCCAAAATCAATAGGGGTCATCTACTGATCATGACCAATCACCATACCAAGTTTGAAGTTCCTAGGCCTTAAGGTTCTTTAGTTATTGATCGGAAACCGTTTTTGCTTACAAGGTCAATGTGACCTTGACCTTTGACCCCTTGACCCCAAAATCAATAGGGATCATCTACTGATCATGACCAATCACCATACCAAGTTTGAAGTTCCTAGGCCTAAGGGTTCTTTAGTTATCGCTCGGAAACCATTTGGTCTACGGACCGACGGACCGACGGACCGACAGACCGACGGACCGACAAGTGCAAAGCAATATACCCCCTTTTCTTCGAAATGGGGGCATAATAACAGACCATTTTCCTAAAGATTTATACCCACAATATATTTCAAGATTTCAGTGTCACATCGAATTAATCAAGAATGTTTTTTTTTTATTCATGCACATCATCAAGATCCATACCCTATGTTTATAATGCTCATTCAATATGCCAGAAATTATAATAACTTTCATTAACAATACACGATTCACTAGCCAGTTCAAATTTTCCACCTGTAATATACATGACAATTTGATCTATAGGAAAATAATATCCGATAGCTTGCAGGAAACACCACTGAAGCTGCTCCACGACAAAATACTTTGTGTTCAGCAGAGCCAGAGCTTGGCAATCCGGTTCATCACGTGATAAGTCTATCTTGAATGGTGAACCTGAAAATATATCATTTCCTATATTTACCTTGTATTTATAGACATTTCCTATATTGACAGCCATCTAAATGGGAGCAAACATTTTTTTTTTTTCATCAAAAACAAACTTAATTTTTAGAACACACTTTAAATGATACAGTAAGTAAGCTCATAGCAGTATAGAATCTAGTTAAACTGTAGGAACTGTCTAAAATACTGTCTATAATATGTCTCAACGTCTTTATTAAAGGAACCCCACTGGGACTTTTTGACATGGGGCTGGTAATATGTTTGCAAGATTTATACTATATTTCATGTATCCTGAGATCAATAACTTTTAATCAATAAATTTTGTATCCTTTGTTGAAAGGTGTTTTTTCAGAATAATTATTTTTATTAACAATACCTTGATGTAAATGCAAGAAAACTGTTCTTTAATGCTTATATCTTACCACATTTAGATTATTGTTGTACAGTCTGGGGGAATTGTAACAATGAACAGATTTTGGATATCATAAAATTTCAGAAAAGAGCTGCAAGAATCATTCTTGACAAAAGCTACGATGCTCCATCTGCTGAGTTATTTAATGAATTAAATTGGATAAAATTTGATGAAAGAATAAGATACAAAAAAGCTGTCATTATGTATAAATCTTTAAACAATGCCTCATTTCCACAGTACATGAAAAACAAATTTCAATTTATTCATCAAAGACATGGGCATAACCTTAGGTCAGCAAAAAACTCAGATTTATTTGTGCCACAACCTAAAAAAGAAATTTTTAGAAAATCTCTGACATATTCAGGCCCTAAACTATGGAACAATATCCCTCTTTCTATTCGTAAATCTGAAACTATTGGAAAATTCCAAGCTTCCTATATCAGTTGGAATTTCACATAAGTACCTTGGTCTTGCATAGATTAAGTATTAAGTAATATATGTACATGCATTGTGTTTTGAATACATGTATGTATTTTGTTTGAATGTACATTGTTTTTGTTGTGTTTTCATGTATATATTATGCATTTTGTGTCTTCATGTATGTTATTTGAAAATTTTGCTGTATAACCATTATGTAAATTATGTATATTTTATGTATATTTATGTTTTGAGGCCCACATGGAAGATTGGGAAACCAAATGTGTAGCCTCAGTAAATAAAGACTTTACTTACTTACTTACTTACTTACTTACTTATTATTGCAAAATGACTCAAAATTTAAAAGAGCAATGCACTGAACTCAAATCAGGTTAAGAATTGGAAAAAAAAAACAATTTCTATTATAATTCTACTCTTCTTATTATCTCTTGCATATGTTTTTCATTTTAAGTGCAGCAGAATGATGATCTATGCAAGAATTTCAATTTTTATTTTTTTTTGCCTTTGAGACCTCAGTCGATCTCCTGTGTTACTAAATATATACTAACCTGGTATTGGTTCCTTATTAAAGGTAACATATACATCATACAGCTCGTATTTTTCTGGTTCAAATGACACCCATATAAGGTCATCCTTTCCTTTGCTCACTGCTGATTGGACGGTTTCTCCAGCACACATTATAATCACGCCCAGCTCTCCCTCTCCTGCCTCCTTTACATCAACTAAAATAAATTAATAACAAATAAACTTAATGACTAAATAACTTTTGATAATTAAGTAGTTCATGTTTAACATAATATGCATGATATTAAACATTTAATTATATGCTTCACAGAAATATCACATCATACATGTAGTCACATGGATACAGTACTCCATCCATCACATTACATTAAAGATGCCCGACTTGACTGTTGTACAGTTCAAAATGAACATATAAATTTGATATTATTATTTTTGAAATTTGCAACTGATGTTTCTAAAAACCAAAAAGTCAGTTTAAAAAGTCACCAAAAAGTTATTTTATCACAATATTAAGAGCTGTCCGTAAAACAGTGCGCTAGACTAGCCTCACTGCTTGACAGTAAGAAAAGGGGCATAACTCTGAAACAAGGTAACTCAAGAGTTATAAGACCCATGTCCATCATGATAGATAATCACAGAGAACAAGTGTGTGAAATTTCAACTGATTCCCTTTGCCAACACTTGGGTGTGCAAGTTGAGCTAAAAATGCATTACCTTGTACACACTTCTATTTCTGTATCATTACTTTGTACAAAATTTCTTTCTCTTTCATCAACAGTATGGCCTAAGAAGCTCTAAAGGAACATCATAATGTCAAAAGATCTAAATAATTCTGTTCCCTGTGCAAGATTCATCTTTTTGCTGACAACAGATTGCCTTGCTGGCAAACATGATCGTCCTTGAACAAATTTTTAATCCAGGAGCACTTAATAATTGAAATAATAACAAGAACTTACATTTCATAAGATGCCTCTCTCCAACTTCTGCCATATATCCCTTATCAATAAGTTTCACTCGAGTTGAATCAAATGCCTTGATTTTCATTGGACTACCCCAGACTGGTATAACATCCCCATATTTCACATCAATATCATAGGTCCCTGGTTTTATTGGGGTCCAGTCTAGGCTATACAACCTGCTCCCAATTTCCCGGAACTTGTGTGGCACCTTGTTAAATACTGGACCTAAATAAAATAAAATCCAAAATAAATTTTGTAATACAAAATTCTAAAATTAACAAGAGTTGCCTGAGGGTAGATAGATAGATAGATAGATGGTCTATGATGTTTTGATCTGATAAAATGGGTGTTGGAAGTAAAACTCATGAAGGTACATGTATACTGGTATAATAATTATGGTGATGTACCAGATTTTCTGGTGGAGGAAGACTTGGAATGTCACTCTGTAATTCATTTCAAATGTTCTGTTTGCTAGCTTGGTAGAATAAACTGTTTCTTCTCAGTCACCCCACTGCAGACCTGGGAAACATGTACCATATATTTAACATACAAAAAATATCATTAACATACCTTCAACATTAATAACCAAATCATCAATAGCAGAAGGGGCTGATGTTACTAGAAGGTTGATTTGTCTGTTACATGGAATCAGCATGGTTCCAGGTTTCTGTATACGGATTTTATCCACATCAGCAAAATTGATTGACAATGGACTACCTATAAACATAAAAAGAAAACAAAACTTTTTTATTCATACAAAATTTAAATTACTTTTTAAAACATGAATGTCTATTCTGTTGTATCTTCTAATTTCTTCTATCCAAACTATAAGTACACAGGACTAACTATACTGATTCATTGTGTTTTTGTTGTTTTTTGGTTGGGTTTTACGTTGCCCAAACACTGCAAGTGTCATATGGCGACTTTCCAGCTTTAATTACTGGTGAAGGAAGACCTAAGGTGCCTCTTGAGCACAAAACTACAACAGATTTTTACTGAGTAGTGGAATGGAGGTTAAAAAGTTGAAAATCAAGTGCTGACAGTTGGCGCTAAACAATTAAGAACCTTTTGATAAATTTTGTATGTATTTTACGTATGACTGACAGCTAGAAAGCTTCCTCACATGAAAGAATCCAAAGTCGTTGGAACTCATTGACCGCTACAACTCGACCTAGGGCGGACGGCCCTTTATTGACCTTTTGCTTATACTATTTCATTGTGTAAATGAAGAGACTGTTCTATCAAATTTTCTTTAAAAAAGACAGTGGGCAAATCTGCATGTACTAAACAACACCAATGTTGTTACGAAAAAATGAACCAGAATTAAATACTTACATGGAATATGTTCTCCATTAAACAGAATATTCAATGTATGTTTCCTCTCTCCATCTCCCATGAAAGTTACTTCAAAAGTTCCCTCCCCTAGAGCCTCAAGTTCTGTAGGAATTTTCCCCTCTTCTGTTTCAACAGTAACTTCCATTTTACCATCTCCAGCTTCATCTGCAAGAACTGAAAGAAAATGTTGATGAAATATTAACGCAACTTTTTAACCATTTTTGTTTATCTGGTTTTTACACCAATTTTACACCAAAAATTTTTCTACAGTCAGTCAACGGTTACAACCTGATTAATTTTCATAAAGATTATTCTGTGTTCATTTGTGTTCAACAAATTTTTATCAATTCTCTTTCTATTAGCATGTTATATTATTTTTTCTTTTTTGTTAGTATATATTAGATGGTGTATTGTTCAAATACTGTGTATTTGTTTACTCAGGTCAAAAGGCCATAATATTCTACATCTAAATAGTGAATTATTCTACAACACACTCAAAATTAATTTATTTTTCCTGAACAAAACATAAAAATTTGTGTTATTATGTACTTTGTAATTGTAATAAATTTGTAAGGCATGTATATGTATAATGACTAACATATTTATTCAACAAAGATGGAGCCCTACATAAGTCTATATATCTATATAACCTAATCTCTAATGCTATTTCAACACATTTCAAAAACTATTAATCAACAAAATAATAAGATCAGCGAACAATAAAACATGATTTTTGTAACACTTACCTCTAAATTTAAATGGTATATTTAGAATTCCTAGTGGCATCTTTGACAATCGTACCAATCTAGGGTCATACACCTTTACTTGATAGGGGCTGTCTCCAACAGGTACCCCTAAATATGTCACTTGTATTGTATGAACACCTAAAACATGGAAATTATATACACAATATACACAATAAAACACAACATTAACAGTTATTATTTCTAGATTTTGATCCACTAAAATATTTCAAAATCTTACATATCATTTGCCATATCTAAAATACTTTAAAATCTTACATACAATGTACCAATAAGTCATTTAAAGGCACATTATGCCTCAGAAACAATTATGTACTTCCATAGAAAGGGCAAACAAGTGTTTAAATAATGGTTTTAGCTCATGTTAGATGTTTGTAAACTGAAGAAAGTTATTATTACTTTATTACTATGTAGCCAAAAATTTGAAATTATTTGCCATAACTGTTGCAAAAACAAAGTAGTATTTGACGTCCATGCAAAATACTAAATCACTGTACTTGTACTAATTGCCAAAAACAATAAAAAGTTATTGAAAATTTTTTACAGGAATATGAAAATAAAATAAACAGGACACAAAATAAGTATTTAGAAACACCTGACCTCGCCTATTTTTTTACGTTGGCATTGTTTTACTAACCTAGATATTTTACAATTCAGAGTGCAAACCATACCTCTAACTCCTCCATAATATAACGCATTATTGAAATTTGTTAGACTGGTTAGACGACTGATTAAGTAAATTTTATTTAGTTAGTACACATTAACCAAAGTTAGACTTAGCAGAAATTTGAAAAATACTACAATGTGATTGGACAAAAAATAATGTTGATCATTAAATAGTAGAAGAATACCTGCTTGTTTAGGTATAAAATCTATTCTCTGTACACCATGGGCTTCTTTCTTGTATCTCACAGCAACATCATCCCCTGTAGGTGCTACATGGTACAAAAGGAAATATATTTTGATATATAAGTGGAGTTAGGGTTTTAGGTCACACACTACAGGGTGACTTGTCAGCTTTACTGAGAGAGGAAAACTTTCAGTCACCCCTTCCGTAAATTAGGTCAGGGCTTTTCCGCTTAAATAAGCAGACAAGTAAAACCAACAATCAACTGTTAGCCTGGAATGTTTAGAGTGCTCATAACTTGAATGTTGGGCAGTCAAATTATGCCAGCCTAGATCTGACATTATCATCTCAAACACTAAATCTTTAATAAACAAGAACGTGTTTGTTAAACACAAATGCCCCCGGCTCAGATTCTTGTCAGTAGCAATATTTCAAAAAATGTTTACCCATTCACTCAGTTATGGACAGAAAAAATGCCAAAAAAATTGTAAACACAAGTTATATAGCTTAGCTTGACAAAGTCATGGGATTTTGTAATTGTCAAAAAAATGTAAGTTGCCAAGTCATTGCTCTGACTTGTGAAGTTGAAAAATATTTAACTTCATGCAAGTTATCTTCCTACCAAATATGAAATACATCTGTCATTAAATAAAGGCTGTATGGGCAAAGTTTAAAATCGATTTTGAGCACTGGTGACCTTGACCAAACTGACCCCTATCTCTATCTAAAAGAAGAATACCATGTAAGTTATCTTCCTACCAAATATGAAATGCATCTGTCAATAAATAAAGGCTGTATGGGCAAAAGTGTAAAAATCTATTTTTAGCACTGGTGACCTTGACCCAACTGACCCCTTACTCCACCCAAAGGAAGAATACCATGCAAGTTATCTTCCTACCAAATATGAAATACATCTATCAATAAATAAAAGCTGTATGGGCAAAAGTGTAAAAATCTAGTTTTAGCACAAGTGACCTTGACCCACTGATCTCTACCCCAATCAAAAGGATGAATACCATGCAAGTTATCTTCCTACCAAATATAAAATATATCTGTCACTTAATAAAGGCTGTATGAGCAAATGTGTAAAAATCTATTTTTAGCACTGGTGACCTTGACCCAACTGACCACTAACTCCATCAAAGTTTATGTTTCTATCAATTATAAATAACATCTGTCTATAGAATAAGGTCAATACACCTGTAAAAATGTAAAAATCTATTTTTAACATTGGTGACCTTGACAGTGGTAACATTGACCTTGACCCAAATGACCCCTTACTACACCCAAAGAAGGAGGACCTCCCTTGGCATGTTTTTTTAAACTAAGACATCAACTAAAAAATAAAGGCTGTATGAGCAAAAATGTTTATATTTATTTTTTAAACCAGTGACCTTGACCCTAGAGACCGCTTACTCCACAAAAAATTAGAGGACCATCAAAGGTATCCAAGGGCTGAAAAGGGCAATAACTTGGTAAATATGAAAGCCAGAGTTATGTAACTTGCCCAGATCATGTACTTTGTATTGATTAGTAAGTGGGTAAACTTAGAAGCCATTGGTACAGGTAGAACTTAAGAAAAATCCAACTTGCCGTTCTAGGTTAACCTCGTACGGACGGACGGACGGTTCAATTACTATATGCCCGGGGGCATAAAAATCAAAATTTCATGTCTTTTAACTTGAGTCTTAAGTTAAATCAGTAGCATAACTACAAGCAAATAAATACATAGATATGTAAATAGAATCGTGGACAAAAGTTATACAAATCTTAACAAAGAAACTTCTTTTAATATAGTAAAATGCTGTAAAACATACATACCTATATAGTTCATGCAATAATAAATTAAAGATCCTGTATTTCATCATTCTTCATGCATAACGATTTATCTCACAAACTAACGATGATTCCATGTTTTAGCATTCACCACAAAACAACCGAATTTGAATAAAATACATGTAATAAAACAGGATGCAATTTTCTTAATCTGTCCACATCTTTCAACAATTTGCATGTTCAACTTCAGAATCCACCCTCCTTTGTCATTAATATTCATGCAATTCCACTGTATCATTTTATAATTAAAGGGCAGCATCATCTGACACTGAGGACACTTACTTTGTGTAAAATGGTACCACACAGTCATACAATGTATCAATATAGAAAAGTCATTTTTTCCACAAAATCATGCACGTCACAAATGTAACCATGTACATTATCATATAACAAACAAGACCAATTCATAATATTTGAAGTAATAATTGTTAAATGTAAATATAACCAACAAAAAACAACACAGCAAAATTTCTTTTTTAATATACCAATATTGTACAGTTTTATTATATTAGCATGTTATGTAATAAGTATGGTATATAGATGCTTGAATGATATATATAACCATTCCATCTTATAATTATGATGATTATAATAACAATACTAAATAGGTACTATATATTAGTAATTAAGAGAGAAATAACACTTTAATCAGACATGAAAATGCACAGGAAATAACAGTAAAAATATATATATAAAAATTGGTATCCCAAAGCCAAGATCAACTTAAATTTTTCAGAAAGGAGTGAAAAAAGATATCAAAAGATCAGAAAAAATTAGAACTGTCATTGATTTATTCTATATTAAGACAAGACAAGACTGATACTATAAAGAATCATTCATTTATATTACATTTGTGTACAAATATACCATTATCTAAAATACTGGTACATGTCCATTTGACATGACACATTCTGATGGTCGAACATAGGCTAAGGATCAATTCAAATATAATCTAAACATTTGATTAATTATACAAATTAAAACCAATTTTGATAATTGATTGACAGAAAAAAATATCAATGTTGATAACATTTTAACTAATGACAGTTCTAGATAATTAATAAAAAGTCAGTACCAGATAATTTCATCTGAGGACTTACTTTAGTCATTCAGTTATTTGATAAAAAAAAAAAATGGAAGAAAAATGAAGAAACAAGTCTACTTCCTGTTTACTTCCTTGCAAGAAAGTTACAATATCAAGCATTTTGGTAGCTTTTTAGGTATTTGAAACACTCAGAATGGAGGTTAAAAAGTTAAAAATCAAGGCTGAAGCGTTGACGGTCGGCGCCAACAAGTAAGAAACTTTGGATAAATTTTGTGAAAAATCTAAATGTTTGACAGACACTTTATTGGACATTTTTGAAAATGCCACTGATTGCACTGTGTGTAAGTGATATTTTCTAATGAATAAGGCGATATTCTGGAGTGTCCTGCACCTTCATGAAGATGGCCTGCACTAGTATATTTCAGATGTGTTTTTTAGTGGGTGTGGGTAAATATCAATTGCTGTCAGTCCTTTTTTTTATTTAGGAGCAATGCACGTAAACTGTAATTTCATTCAATGTATGTCATTGGTCCTTGAATAATGCTGTGCAACTGGTTATCTGTCTGTGTAAAAGATTTTGAAATATTTGAAATTGTGTTTTTGGCCACACTGAACTTCAAAATAGGTCCCCTGCCCTCTAAAGGTTCCAAAGAAAGGTTCAGTTATTGAAAGAAGCAGGTGCTTGTAAATGCAAGGTATGGGACACATTCAATTATATAAATTATATAGGCTTGCAAGACATGGTACAGTGACTTTGTTTATCCACCGAGATATTGTAAAAGTATTCTATTTGAAATAAAAGAGTGAATGATTCAGATACCTGACCTAAGCATACATTAGCATATGTTTGTCATACATGAAAACCATTACACCGAAATGCTAAAAACTTACATGATATGTCTACGTTGACATTTAAATCTTGGCTGATATTCTCTGAATGAACGTAAAATGATGATGTTTTCTCAACCGGGAGCTGTAAGTCCAAACTGCGCACAGATGCTTGGTTAAGGTTCACAGCGTTGCATGTAAACGGTGATCCTATAATAGGAAAAGTGGAAAGGAATGTGTTAAGTATAGAAACAGAAGTTTGGTACATGCACATTATTAAGATAGAACAATGTTTTCCCTTATATTTTTTTAGTTGTAAATTCAGATTTCTTTCTCTTCACTTGCAATTACAAACTTCACAAGCAACAATTTTATAAACTTCTCCACTTAAACCAAGGAGAATTGTTGATCTAAATAAATTGCATAGTCTGCACTTGTTTCACGCCCCGTGTATTATTATAATGATATCTAATCATACTTACAGAACTTAAGGACCACAAATCTGCAACAAAAATTATACAAGTGAAGACACCATTTTCAATCCTTTGCTGTGACCTTGACCTTTGACTTAAAAAATATTGCATGCAGCACATCATTTTGTGTACCAGTTCATTTTGAAATACCAATATGCATGCAGAAATACTGTTACCTAGAGACCTTGAACTTGCATGTGACACATTGTCTTTTTATGGTGACAAGTGTACCAATTTATTTTGAAATCCCATCATGTATGCAAAAGTTATGGACTGAACACAAGTAAACATTTCTACACCCCCAAACCAAATATACACAGGGGTAAGGGTAACACTTGATTATGTTCCCACCCATGCCCCTTTTTATGGCATTGGCTTAAAGATGAAGCCAGCAAACATTAATACATACTTGGATGGCTCTCTTTGTTAAAGATGATCTCCACGTTCTGTATGCCAGGTTCCTCCGGTACAAAGCTCATACGATACACCCCTGTTGCATCAGACTCGACAGTGTTCGGTAGGTTACCATTGTTCACCATGATTTCAAGCTGACCTTCTCCAGCCTTCCTGACATCAACTGAAAAGGTTTCAAGAAATGAGTTTTAATCTTAACTTTATGTAAAAGTGTCTAATTTTATCAAATATCACATTACTTAATGTTTTAAAGCTACATGTTAAGTTTCAGTTTCCGTTTATAGATCTTTGGTACTACCATAGTAATCTGGCTTGCTATTTAACAACTTCTTATAATTATAGTCTTATCAAGGTAATGGATTAACATTAAAGGAGCATTGAGGTCAAAAAGCCTAAAAAATATAAAATTTGAAATTTTTTATTTTCATCAAGTGAAGCCCTTAAAATGGAAAATTTACAAAGGATAATATTAAAGAAATATACTCAAAAATAAACTGAAAATCAATTTTTTGTGTGAGTATTAGCTAGATTCATGTGGAAAATGTTGCATTGCTTTCCAATTTTGTTTATTATGCACAATAATAATGATTATTCTAGAAAAACAGGGAGATGGAATGATCTAAACATTTACACATATTAGTTATTGGTTCAATCCTTCATCAAATGATAATTATGCTGATGTTGGAAAAAATATTCCCAGTCGTGTCATGTCAAAAAATCCTCAGTGAAGTCCCTTTAAAGAAAAAGTACTAACAGCAATGGATTCAAAAAAAGTTTGTATTTTATACAATATAAACATGAGCTGAAAATCAGGTATATCTCATTATAGCTGTGGCACATACAGGTAATGTTTACACCATAAAAAAAAAATCAACTTACTTCCAAATTCAATAGGTTGTCCAACGACTCCATCAGGGAGATCAGTAACTTCAATGGCAGCAGTATTGTAGGCCTTGGCACAAAATGGACTTCCACTAAGTTCTGAGTCTGCATACTTCACATCTATTGTATGATCACCTGTCAAACAAATTTCTCATTTCTATTCAATCAAGTAAGAAAAGCCTTTTAAAAGTAACCTTCTACAACCTCCTGAGAATTAACTCAAATTTTCTAAAATAATTTTTCACCATATGGAATTAAAAAACATGTTTGCATTAAACCCTTTGACAATTATATTCACATTTTAAGTATTACAGGTGTTGGATGGAGAATTGCCTAATTAAAACCACTTGTGTTTCAATATGTCAAATATATGTACACAGCAGAAATGCATATATGCATTCTAAAAATTTAAAACAAAATAAATGTAATATTCATTTTCACATCTTTGGTAATAAAATATCATATTCACCAAATTTCAGGTTCCATGTTGAAAGAAACTGGTAATTGAGCTTATTACAAAAATATAGCTAATTAAATTTAACTACAATTAAGATAGTAATCCAGAGTTTTCTGGTTCAATCCTTGAGCAAGAGTGAAATTGCTTAACGACAAATAATCTTGGGACATCGAGTCCAATGGTCATTTGTCTCTCACCGCTGATACAGAAATCATGTAGGATAAGTAGCCAGTAAATTTCTGAAAGTTAATCCAGGAAAGCCAATTAGATGGATCAACTGCCAAAATATGACAATATTTATATTAATGTGTTAAAGTTAGAAAAACAAAACAGCAACTTACCAACTTCAGTTGGGATATATTCCACTCTGAATTCATTTGTTCCCTGCTCAATTCTGTATGGTACTGAGGATCCACTTGGAGCTGAAATATAGACAGGAACCAAACTGTGAACAAATAAAATATCAAAATAAGATAAAAGGAAAAAGAGGTGAAGGGAATATGATATAAGTTCTAAGTATATGAAATTACAAATGTGGTTGGATGACCTTATACTTTTTGCTATTTAACATGAATATGGATTTAATGTACAGCAATACATAGATTTCTAGAAAACTATGTAGATTGCCATGATTGTATTCACTTTTTACAAATGTTTCAACTTTTCAAAGGGAGACAACCATTATTTAGCAATATCAATTATCATGAATAATATTCACAAAAACATGCATTCAAAGATAATACATTGTATTCTAAGAAAACAATAAACAAAATAAAATTACATATATAATCTAAAGCACAAGGTGCGATCAACATATCAAATGAAGGAAATAAAATATTAAATCCATACAACACTATTTTAAAATTTGTGGGGAAAAAACAAAGTATATCATGCAGTTAAAATGAAAATCACAGACATAATATTAACAAGACACATTTTATCTACAGGAATAAGGATAAATACATTCATCAACTGTGTGGAATGAAAAGGAGGAAATAAAAACAGAAAATCTAACACAAGACTTCTAGAAAGGTTTATTTCACTATTTACGTGTACATGTACAAGGGTATATACAAGGTGGTGATTATAAAAATGTGTTACGAACAATAACTGAAAAGAAAGAAAACAGAAAATTAGTTAAATTATTTATACTATTGATAATCATTTAGAGAACACTACAACTAAAATAAAACTATAATGGTGTGACTAATACTAAAACAAGTCGGAACTGTAAATCTGTATTAAAATATTTTTTTTATTTTTTTTTAATAATGGCTCCCATATTGGAGAAATGCTAAGATCTTAGCTAGAAGTTAAAATCAGGCATCTGTACAGTTTAACCTGATTCAAAACTGCTCGCTATTTTGGTACTGAAATGGCCTGTTTGACCTTTGATCTCGAAATACAACCTTGACCTTAAAGGAGCAGGCATGAGTCTTGCACATGGCACATTGTCAACCTTTTGACATCTTACATAATTTTGAAATCCCATTTCTGCATGCAGGTGTTATGGACAGGAGACAAACTCCAACTGCATTTAAAGACTCATGTATAATACCATAAGTTCAATCCCTTGCCGTGATCTTGACCTTTGAGCAAAGGACCTGGGCAAAAAGTATATGATTTGGTGTGCACGCACAAGTGCTCACATGTACATACAAACACAAATACATGTAATAATAAACAGGGTAAAAGCTATATACTACCCCACCCCAGTTTCATCAGTTTCATGGCAGAGGCAATCAAAGTTGGGTGGTATGTATAAAGACACCACACCTAATTGAGTTTCCGAGGAAAGAATTTTTATTAACAAGAAAAATTTCATTCCCAAATTTTGTTTTTTAGCTTCAGAGACTTACTTTTGCATCAGATTCACCTGAGGCTTATATTTCAGTGATGTTTAGTTAAATTTTTCTTGTGGAAATTGTGGATAATGGCACACAACAGACATTATGCTATCACAGTAGCTCAACTAAAGCTCACCTAATAAAAGCTGAAAATACGCTCAGGTGAGCTTTAAAACTGTTTAGGGAGCTTATATTTTCTCAGTCAACAAAACCAATTATCTTTAGTCAAAGATATTTTTAAAGTCATATTTACTTTCAGGTGCATATTAGATTCTTGGTTATACAATTTATTTCTGAGTACATGCAATTAATATTGTAACATCTTTAATCTAAATTAGACATGATATTTATTTATGTAATATCAACTCTTTATATTTATGTAATATCAACTCTTTGATATAAATATACAACAAAATTTTAATGTAACAACAGTCTCACTTTATAGATTGTTTCCCTAGTATATTCAGTTTAATTCTCTAAATTCTTTGTGTTCATTCAAAGCATATCAACTTACTCAAATACGGTACCAGTGTTTAATGTAACAATGACACTTTGATTTTCATATTGGAAGAGAGCAACAAACATGCAACTCCCTTCATTGTTTTAGACATAGACAAGTTAGCAAGAATATCAAAGAAACAAACTTTTGAATGCTGGTTGGATACAGAAAAACCTCAAGAAATTTAAATGAACAAGAGCCCGGTTTGAGCCGGATGATGCTCCCCGAATAGGTTTTGGACACAGGAAAGTACACCTCTTGTAGTTTCAGAGTTATGTTCCTGGAAAAAGTTCAAAGTGCAATAATTCCAAAAATAGGCAAGGCAGAGTTACTGTTCTTTGCACTGCACTTCTTATCAATGTGATCTATCAACCTACAAAGTTTCTTGATGATATCTCTTATGAGTTATGTCCCGGACAACTTCAAAAAGTAAAAATAAACAAACGGCAATAACTCCAGAATTAGGCAAGGCAGAGTTATGATTCTTGTGCACTGCACATCTACCTATTGAGATATATCTACCTACAAAGATTCATGTTGATATCTCTTATAGTTTTACAGCTATGTCCTGGACAAGATTTTTCTAAAAGGGGAGATAATTCAAAAATGAGGCTTAACAGAGTTATGGTTCTTTTGCACTGCACCTCTACTCAATGAGATCTATCTACCTACAATGTTTCATCTTGATATCTCTTATAGTTTTAGAGTTATGTTCCAGACAAAGTTCAAAGTGTTAAAATTAACAAATGGGCAATAACTCCAAAATTAGGACAAAAAGAGTTATTGTTCTTATGCACTGCACATCTACCCACTGAGATCTATTCACCTACAAAGTTTCATGTTGATATCTCTTATAGTTTTAGAGTTATGCCCCGGACAAGATTTTTCTATAAGGGAAGATAATTCAAAAACCGGGCAAAATAGAGTTATGGTTCTTTAACACTGCACTCCCCCTCAATGCCCTCTAACACTGTATGAAGTTTCAACAAATTATCTCAAAGGGTTTTCAAGTTATGCTCCGGACAAGACAACGGCCGGACAGACGGACGGACGGACAGACAGACAGACAGACAAGGCGCCGACTATATGCTCCCCCAAAATTTTTCGGGGAGCATAAAAATTGAACGCCTTTGAGACAGTTATTACTTAGACTGATAATATACACTTGCTTGATAGTAATGACAAACACCTTTCCAGTGTTTCAGTCATATTAGGCACTAAATCAGAATTGAGTACCATAACATATAAATTGTGTATGTCTATTCAAAACGGCCTTCAGCTTTTATTTTCTGTCAAAAAAACAATTATGTTTGTTTCAAGCTATGTATTTTAGTAATTTTATCTTGAAAAGTGCATCATATCACTGTAAAGCCTTCAAAACAACATATTGAGAGCTATTTTTAACCTGAAATGATGTCCGTTTCTAAAAATAGAATATCAGGAATAGAATCGTATGCTTTACAAATTTACATATAGTCAGAGCGGACTGGTAGAATAGAGGTATGGAGGGGTTTCCTTATTGTTTATGCAATTTATCGTTCCAGCCTAATTCTTTTGATTCGACAATTATATGAAATGATTTAACTAAAAATAACATATTAAACCATTAGAAAAACTGAAGGCCATTTTAAAGAGCAAGATGTTTTTTTATAATATTTAGAAAAAAGAATGAAATTACAACCCTGGGAAAACTATACTTTTGAATAACTAAAACTATATTACACATGATTATCAGAATTAAAAAATCAATTTGTAGTCCAGTCTGAATTTAGCAATCTGTCATTGGGCAATTTCAAAAAAATGTGTGCAGAAACAACCAATCAGATTCCTGTGTTTTCAGACTGGTCTTCAAACACATTTTTTAATCTTTAAACCAATTCTACATGACTGGTTACACCAAACTGTTACCTATTATCTTTACTGAAAGTTTCTTCGAGTCCATTCCGAGCATATTAACGGAGAAAGATGTAGTTCTATGTATATGAACAAAGTCCAGTCCACTTCCTGTTGCGGACATTTTACCAGCATCAAGCATCATCACCCTCCATGGAGACCCTGATAATTGGAAAAAGAAACATAGTTTTTGATTGGTTTAGATATAATGAGCCTGCTCTGATTTTTTAAATTACTGTACTTTATTTTGTTGAAATCACATGCTATTTTACTTAATAGGCCCATTAGGCCTTCAAATTTTTTTTTCTTCAAAGTTTTTTATTTTTTTTGTGTCCTGCTATGTTTCAAAAAGATCATATGAGCCGCGTCATGACAAAACCAACATAGTGGGTTTGCGACCAGCATGGATCCAGACCAGCCTGCCCATCCGCGCAGTTTGATCAGGATCCATGCTGTCGCTGTTAGTTTCTCTACTTGTTTTATGGTCTGTAAGCCAACAGCATGGATCCTGATCAGACTGCGCGGATGCGCATGCTGGCCTGGATCCATGCTGGTCGCAAACCCATTATGTTGGTTTTGTGGTGACACGGCTCAATTATTATAGCTGAAAATATTTTGAAAATTGCAACAGATATAGTGATATGACAGTCAAAATACCACTTTGTGTACATTTTGTCTATAATTTATAAATCATTTCACATCCAGTGCAATTTCTTCCAGTGATTAGTGTCAAATGCTTTAAATTTATCATTAAAGCATTATTAAACATGCTTAAAGCACTGTTTGATATATAACACTCGCCTAGTTTTTGCAGTTACCATTTGACAAAAGTTTTTACTTCCTTATTTTAAGTCATACCAATATAAACTTGTCATACAACATAACCTGTCATACCATATAAACCCAGTCATACCATATAAACCTTGCATACCATGTAAAATTTCCATATAAGCAATAAAATAGCTTACCTGGCACTTGTTCAGAGTTAAATTTCATCTCAATTTTATGATCGTCCAAGTTGGCTGGCAGGAAGGAAGCAGTGAATTTATAGTTGCCATGGTTTTGTACACTACATGCAATTTCTCCTCCATTGATCATTATCTCTATATTACCACTGCCAGCTTTAGATGCATCAACTGAAAAAATATCAAAGTCCTTCACACTGAACTATACAAGATTTTCAGTGTAACATAATCACAATTAATTCATTTACATTACCCACAAGTAGAAGTCAATGATGAGTGTCTAAGTCAAGCGGATGTACAGCAAATAAATCAAATGTAATGTTGTTTATTTTTGTTGTTGTTTTTGGTTTTGGTTTTATGAAGCATCAACACAGTATAGGTCATATGGCAACTGTCCAGCTTTACTGGGGGAGGAAGACTTCAGGTGCCATTCTGTGCATTATTAAGGAAAATATAGCACCTTAGTAAAACCACCAACTAAGCTAGCTGGATCAAATGTAATGTGAATGGTTACTGTTAAGTAATTCTACAATTTGGAGTAGTACACTCAACTGTAATGCAACAATATCAAATCTCAATTATCTGCGAACTTGGACTTTAAATGTGTCCTCTTACTTCTGCAAATGCTGATGCATAAAATATATGCATCAACCCTCTCTTATCATGTTAATGCAAATGTGAATATTGAAGAATATAATAGTAATAACATTTTCAGATGGCCAAAGGTCATGCAGCATCTGAGATAAATCTGTTGGGTTGTTTTTCTGTGATTTTTGTACACCAATTTTGATATTTTTTGGTCACATCTTGGTACTCCATTCATCTTACAGATTTATTTAACAGGATTTCTTTGGTAACTAACCAGGTATAACCAATTTGTTTAGCAAGTGACCAACTACTTATCCAACATGATTTCTGAATCAGTCATGAGAGGCAAATGACCATTTAAGACTTAATGTCGGAGATCAATTAGTTTTATGCACTAGAACTGTCATAGATTCAAAACTTTAATTTGAGCTGCGTCACGACAAAACCAACGTATTGCCTTTGCGACTAGCATGGATCGAGACCAGCCTGCGCATCCGCGCAGTCTGATCAGAATCCATGCTGTTCAGTTACAAACCCTATTACAAGTAGAGAAACTGATAGCGAACAGCATGGATCCTGATCAGACTGCGCGAATGCGCAGGCTGGTCTGGATCCATGCTGGTCGCAAACGCATTACGTTGGTTTTGTCATGGCGCGGCTCATATAATGACTAAACAAAAGCAAAACAACTTACTGTCAAACACAACAGGTTGTCCAAACACACTTGATGTTGGCATATTTGACACAATAACTCTACTGGCATCCCATACTCTCACTGTATATGGACAACCCTTTATAAGCTGGCCTGAACAATATATGTTCACTTTATGGTCCCCTGAAAATAAACATCAAAACAACATCATATAATCATGCATTGGTAGCTTTCAATTAAGAATAAATACATCATATATATTGGTCACTACCAATTAAGCATATTTACATGATTTATTTAAGTGTGTTGGTACTAAAATTTTCAACACATTTTACTGATCATTAAATAATTTATCCTGGTCCCTTAACATGCAACTTACCAAATTAAGTATCATTTCGTACCATTATACAATATTCAACATTATAATTAAGTATCATTTCAGACCATTGCAAGATATTCAACATTTTGAATTAAGAATCATTTCATTCCATTGTAAGATTCAACATTTTGAATTAAGTATCATTTCATTATCATACAATATTCAATATTTTGACTTGAGAATCAATTAGCATACCATTTTAAGATATTCAACATTTTGAATTAAGTATCATTTCATTATTATACAATATTCAACAATTTGACTTTGGTATCATTTAGCATACCATTTTAAGATATTCAACATTTCTAATTAAGATTTATTTCTTAATTACATTCTGACCTTCATGATCTGATCAAAGAAGGGATTATCAATATAACAATAAATTTATAAATGTCACTTACCAACACAATTTGGAATGAACTGCACATTTGAGGAACCATTAGACAGTTTATTCACATGAGCTGGTACTCGGGCACCTGTTGGAGCTGAAAGGTCAAGGTCATACATTCAGGTTTCCATGGCAACCTCAATATAATCTCTAAACAATGTTACAGTTATAATACAAGATTTATCAAAACAATAATAACATAGGATCAAAGGCATAGAAGAAATTTACCAAAACCATCCAGGTGCCTACAGATCAAGGTTGGGGGGAATCTATTTTTAGGACTGATGACCTTCTGACCTTTGCTGTGTTGCTTGGCAACTATTATATACCATTATTGTGAGTCATTCTGGTGGACATGCAGAGACATGCAATACATTGTTTACATTTGGTATTTTCTTGTTAAACCATGCTATTTTTGAGGATAATTTTAAATATAATACAAATATAAACAACTCTGTTTATAATGTTTCATTTCAAAGTCCAATGTCATGCTATCAATTTAGTTATCAGTAATTTGATTACTCAATTAGTTATCAGTAATTTGATTACTAATTTAGTAATCAGTAATTTGATTATCAGCCCAAGGTAGATAATTCTCAATGTTTTAATGTCTTTAGTATTACTGTCTGCTATGGAAACATTAAATCGTGTTTTCAAAAAAGCTTTTTACTCAAACAGTGAAATTTATTTTAGGTACTTTATTATGTCAATGAAAAAATTACAAATAAATATTGTTTAAACTAAACTGACACAAATTTGAATATATCCATTTTCAAAACAAAAATATTGTCAAATATGTAGTATTTTCAACAAATAAAATGTTGTAAAACATTTTCATGAAAAAGATGATTTTAGTGTGAAAAATAATATATTTCTTCTGCTGTACTATATATTATGCATGACATTAAAATTTTGAAACCAAACAGTATAAAACAAAGACAATTTGAATTGTTCATCTTGCAGCCATTGATGTTGAACTTTTTTCAATAATATTTTGATTGGGCATTTTTAGAATATTATAATAGTTTTTACATGCATAGGTTTTCAGACATGCTTACATACCAGGTATCTCCAAAATACATGAACTAAATGTTCCCCTTTAACCATTATTACACAGTACACACCCTTCTTAAACACTACAGAATTAAAGATAAACACTTCCAATATAAGATATATTTTCAAAACTAAAGAATTTAAAAAAAAACTAATAAAAAATAAATGTATTGATTAATTTGAAAGGTTTTTTTTAACAAAATATCTAAGCATTTCAGTAAATATTCTTACACTATTAAGAAATAAACACAAAATTACAGGATATATTCATGATATTGAAGAATGAGTATATGATTTAGTTTATTAAAAAGGTTAAACCAGAAATATTCATTCTTTGGTACTGTCATATATATTCTTTAAAGTCTGTTCATTAATCAATCAATTAAAAATCAATTAAAAGTAACGGTCTCTGCATTTTGGAGATACTGCTATGCTAGATTATACACATACATATATTAGGTTAAATTTACATTAATATATAAGTCATTCAAGTAAATAAAGGAGAAAAATTAAACAGAACAAAACAGAAAAAAAATTAATATAAAGGAAAGAAAAAAAGACAGGGTCAGCTTTGCAGTCTTGAAGTTCAAGAACTTTGTCTAATTAACCCATTCACCCTTCTTTAATTTGTGAAATAAAGTCTCCTTCCAGTTTGTCTGAAACTACCAAATGATATTTAAAGAGTTTTGAGAGATTTAACCCTGAGCCTGTTATCCAAGAGACCAGTGCAGATTGAAGTCAACTGACACATGTGTGCTATCTGATCATGGCTTCAACTGTTTGCTTTTCAGTGAGTACATATTTCAAAAAATTCCCTAAATATCATTAACGGTTTTGTCCAGATTGAAAGATGGGCAAGTAAATTTCATATACACTGTATTTAGCATGGCAAGGGTTTGATAACCAATATTGAGCAGCCAACAATTTTATAATTGGTCAAACTGTCCTGGCTGTTAGCCATTGGCAAGGTTACTTGCATTCAAAAAGTTAAAACATAAATATCATGCCAAAATGTAGTATTTTAATGGAATTTTTGCCCCTTTCAGTTTAATGCAAAAACTTTCCTTGAATCAGGAACTGTAAAAAGTGCTCTATCAACATAATAGACACTGTCAAACAACTTCCATCATCCTTTGCTGTTTTAAAGTTTATTAATACCCACAAACATTAACCCTGTCAAGTCTAGAGTTTGGAATCTGCACTGATTACAATATACCCAATCTTATTTATATCTTCTTCAAATGCTACATCACTTGGATTACATTGGGGTGACCATGAAACTCCCTTTATTTAGGCAGAGCCACATTGTGAATGTTGAATATGTGGTAAGGAAGTATTGAGTGCTCAAAATAATAGACTAAGTTTTTGGCAACATTCATTGCCCACTCCTGTTCAACAGGTTTAATGTATTTCAGGAATTTCAAGATGGTAAGGACATTACTGAGCAACAGGTGGTTAGCATGGTTGTGCAGGATGGTCCATATCAATAGATGGCAAAGGCAATGCCATACTCTTTGACCTTGACTCTCTGAAACTGACCAATACAGTTGTCCTACTTTGAATTTAGGACATACAAATATAAGTTAAAGGGAAATATAAGTTAAAATCGAAATACTAAGTTAAACAATATCTATTATCAGCCTCATTTGTACTTGAAGAGTATGGTAAATACAGATCAAGCAAAGGCATAGATCAGACAAAAAGATATCTTTTTATAACCTGTTCTATTATTTTGGTTTAAATGACAATTTTTTTCATCTTGTTCACATACGGGGAAACTTCTACATTATGATTTTAGTAACAAAATCTTTAATAATTAAAAAGGAAATTTAATTTTGTAAGTGACATATAGCTCCTTATACCCATTTGTCAACATTCAGTTAGTAATCTACTCTAATGGCCCCGAAAAAAAAACACCCTAGAAAATAGAATATAATTATTATAATTAATATCACATGCAATACTACAACAAGACATACAAAGTTGACCCCTACCAAACTGCCCGGAACTCACCTTACAAGGTTATATGTGCAGAAACGAACAGAAAATGTCAAGTCACTGCGTGATTAAAGTGAAGAACACTTCACTGCGTGAGATGAGTGAAGTTACGCAGTCTCTAGAACATTTCCGTATTACGGTCAGGTAAAAAACTCGATGAAGAGAAAAACCAGCGCCACCGAAGAACACTTTCCGATGCTCAGTTACTGAAGAGCAGATGTTTTTTTCCATGTTGTTATTGTTGTTTATGCATTTTGTTACTATGGTAACTATTAATTTTAGTTCATCATGTTACTATAGTACCTGCACTTTATACTTTGATTATATAAATGTGTAACAATGGTAACTACCCTACTTTTTTGATAAGCTTATTTTATTCTGTCAATCTTTGTTACTATGGCAGTGCCTTCCGGTGATGTAAATGATATAAATGCAGATTAAAATACATGTAATTTACTTTCTATGATGGACAGAATATAATGGTGAAACAACAATATTAAATAAATGGTATGTATTGGATGACAATGTGAAATAAGTGTCCAGAAATAAATAATGAATGTGATATTAGACTTACTAATAAACAATCTGTTACCATTCACCTGGGTTGAGTAATATCTTAAAGCTATAGTTTTATCTATTTGTGATAACCATCTTTACAAAAAAATAATAAAAAATTCTTTAATAATCACTAAATCAAAAACGTTTTTGTTGTTTTAACAACTTCTGTTGTATTTTTATATATATAAAAAATTTTCATGTATTAATCAAAATAAATTACTCATTTTTAAATTGTAAAAAATCTCTTACCCTTAATGTAAACAAAACAATTGCCATGATAATAACACCTTATATGTTATAAAGGTAATGTCATAAATGGCAAAAATTTGATTCTAATAGCCAATATAATATATGCCTATGCCTTTACTAATGTTACTAAAATAGCATCTAATTATATTTTTCCCTAATTGAACTGAAAAAACTGGCGAAAAACATTCTTACATTTCACAAATTTCTACAAAATGACAAAAAATAAATTACAAAAGCGTGTATTTCTATACATTGTAATTAGAATCATTACTATAGCTTTAAGCAATGTGAATAATTTACAATATAATCCTAAGATTCTGCCAGTCTGCTCTTCAGTATATAAGTTATAGACAGAAAAGTTTTTTGTCCCGAAGTTAAAAGTCATTGACATAAATTTACAGAAAAGATTTTTTTCATATAGCTTGCCAAGTATGAAAATAAAAGATTAAATCAACAGAAATTTTTGAAAGAATATTATAATAATACAGAAATCATTCAAACTGGTCAAGGATTACATTAAGTTTTACTATGAACTTGACCTAAGGCCTATCAATAGGGGTCACCTATAAGGCATTGGCCATGTCACTTAACAAAGTTTCACCAATTTGGGGTAACTATAATATTGATCAGACAAGGACTTTAAAGAAAGGATCTTTATGACCTTTACCTTTGACCTTAAGACCTCAAAATCAATAAAGGTCATTTACAGTCCATGTTACATAAACCACTGTTTAAAGTGTTTCAAGACATTGAAAGGGCAAAGGCATAAAGACCTAGGTATGTACAATGGCAGGACCCTTTAAAGTATACTCCCTACTTTTAAAAGTATGCGTTGGGAATAATCAAGCCAAGCAATATAACTATTATAAAAACATTTGAAAAGCATCAAAATCTTTTAGCACAAAAGCTTATTAGAAAATATTTAACATAAAATTATTAAGCTTGTGTACAGGTTTTCTCATATAAGGAAACATACCAACTGGTACTTTTTTTTTTTTCAACATTACTCAAGAAGTCATAAATGTATATTAAAGAAATGATAAAAGGCTGGCATACATATTTTTATTAGGAATGTGCTGTTATATATATGAGCCGTGTCATGACAAAACCAACCAAGTGCGTTTGAGACCAGCATGGATCCAGACCAGCCTGCGCATCCGCGCAGTCTGATCAGGATCCATGCTGTTTGCTTACAAACCCTATAACAAGTAGAGAAACTGATAGCGAACAGCATGGATCCTGATCAGACTGCGCGGATGCTGGATCCATGCTGGTCGCAAACCCATTATGTTGGTTTTGTCATGACGCGGCTCATATATATAAAACAGAATATAATTCTTAAATTAGACTTATCATTTTAAAATATTTTCTGTCAATAACTTATCTAAGCTCCTAAAACCCATGAACAAAATAACTTTAGCAGGTGACAATTATTGCACAGAGTTATAGTAATGATTTTAATTTTTGTTTTCTCCCCTAAAGTATCGCAAAAATATTAATTATCTGCCATTGCTACATGTGCAGGAGATATGGTTTATAGGTATAGTTACATAAAGGTAGCAATTTGGAAAAAGACTCTATGTTAACTACTTTAAGTAAAATTTTTTTGGGGATTTGAAGTCATAAAGACAATATTATGGTGATAAAGAGACTGAAATAGGTAGACTTCAGCTGCTTCTCCTTGTACAATATTTCATACAGGAAAAGCCATAATGTATTCAACAATTAAGTCATCTACTTTCACTGAGTATGCTATAATAATTAGCTAAAAGAATTTTAACATCCATACCCACAAAGGATCAAATGATTTCATTCTGAACAACATTGATAAGTCAAGAACAGACACTATACTTGAATGTAAATACATTAAGAAACATTTTCTATGAATTTTGGAAAATGAGTTCAGAATCTATGTGCCTAACGTTGAAATGAATTTACAAATAGTAAGACTACTTTTATAAAGGATGATGTATTTCTAGAAATTTAAAAGTGTTTTTTTTAATAACTCTGTACAATAAGTCATCACCCTTAAATGTGCCATCTATATACATGTTCATTGTTGTACAATGTCTTGATCTTTTGTAAACATTACATAATTAGATATATCAACTTTTTTTCCAACAAAAATTGATAATAAGTAGTTTCCTTTTCAGATAATCATGAAAATTATGATTGTTTGCCACTAGTCACCCTCAATTTATTGGTATTTAAAACATATATAGGCAAACAGTTTGCTTACATTAGTGTCCTAGTGGATCTTATTCCAATACTGATCGGTTCTTCCACAAAAAAATCTACAACTTCTCAACATGAAATTACACAATAATGTGTAATATCATCAATTATCAAAAAAAAAACAAAAAAAAAACAAAAAACACACACACAAAAAACAGTACTGATGAACAGGCCTGGCCTTATCAAACTCAAAGGCACTTAAAGTCCATTTATGTACCAAAAAAAAAAGATCTTACAATTGCATATATAGATGACACAGAAAGTTTTTGAGTGATTTAGGTTATGTGATGTCAATAATAACTGGAACAAGTTTTATAATTCTATAATATGTGCTTCAAAAAAAAAGTTAAATGAATATAATGAAAGTAGAGATGAGTAGTTTAAGATGTAGTATAAAATGAAATGTATATAAACAAAAATATATATTAACCAAAAATATATATAAGAATTAAATAATTATATGATAGGTAAATGGTAGAGTAAATGGAAATAATATTACGCTACATAAAAATTAAATGAATATAAAATGTTAATTAATAGATTTACATTACAATTAATCATTCATTTCTGTATTTGGACAAAAATTATGGCCAATGTTTTAAGAATGACATACCATAATATTTTGTTGTAGCATTTTAAACATTTTGATTACACAAACTAAAAACATTATGTATATTCATATGATCTGGGACAAACATATGCTTTCCCCACCCACCCCCTTCTGCCACGCTCTCCCATATTTATTACACACAAATAAATATCTGAATATGAATGAATTCATGCATAAAGCAGCATGCAGTTACAAAAGCAAGCAGTATATACACATATATATATATAATATATGATGCAGATATTTGTAAATTTAATTATATTCAAGGGACATAACTTTACATTTTGTGCAGGTGTTCTCAATTTTGTTGTTGAGAGAAAAACAGACAAATTTTTACTTTGATCAAAGTAAATTTACCTTCCTTTCTGCCAAGCAATATACACCAGTCCTGTTGTTTTTTAGAGAATCTATGTTGGCATAGAATAACAAATGACATTATTTTATATAGTTTCACACTTTTCTTCTAGAAAGAAAAGTGATTGACTGATTAAGGGCACATGGATTATACGCACCTTGACACAACATAGCAACACTGTTATGAGACCATTGTGTTAAAGGGGCATGGCTAAACTTCCAAGCAAGACATAGCAACTATGCACAAAAGCTATAAAATATCATATAGCTTCTAAACAAATTTGGAAGAGAGAGATATTTCTCTTTTCCAAAAAGAAATTATTGTATAATGCAGAATCAGCTGCAATTACTTGTAACAGTAATTCAATATGAACTATTTTCATTATGTATACAAAAAGGGACTTGGGATACATCTTATACCAACATATAAAATTTGGGCTGCATTCTTTCATTAAAAAAACAACAAGAAAGATTTTATTTGAATATAATAATCTGCTAGTTTACAATTTAATGAAGTATTTTTTATTCAAAGTACATAGTATATTGTCACAGGGTGAGAAAAATGTGCAGCCTGACCGGGACTCTAACCCGGGACCCTTAGAATACCGTTCCACGGCTCTACCGACTGAGCTATCCGGCCACTTACACATCTTCTCCCCTATAAAGTTAACAGTTCTGAACCGTGACAATATCAAATGAAAAAATCATTTAAAGACAATAAATGAAAGATTTACATTTGATGTTTCAGTTTAAGATAAACTGTAAACTAGCAGTTATGCTATATTGTACACTAACAGGTGATTCTGTAATATTTACGTACCTGTGATTTCCACATCGAGCTTGCCGGAGCTCCCACCATGCACCTCAAATGATGCTGTCCTGTTCACGCACACGAGGCTCAGACCATCTCCACTCACTGTAACGTTGCTGGAGTCAACAATGTCAATATCATATGGTGATCCTGAAAAAATTAATGTGTCATGTCTTGATTTATTATCATGTTACCAAGGTAATAAATTATTTTTTATGTTAATCATCGATACTCTGCCACACCGTTATTACGCGCCCCATTATAATGCTAATCTCAGTATAACAATTCAATTTCAATTCAAACTTTTATTAGACGAGTCACAGTTTACTATATATAAAAACATGTGAATATTTACAATCGTCAATGCAGGAGCAGTAGTAGTGTGTAAAGCCATTGGTACAGGAATTTGAGTTAACCCTGTACAGATGGATGGACAGAGGAACGGATGGATGGTTCAATTACTATATGCCCAGGGACATATAAATAAAATATTCTTGGCAGGAACCAGTTTCCGGACAGAATTCGAGTTTTTTTAATTGTCTATTTTTTAATAATAATTAATAAAACTAACACACCAAAAACCGGAGCTCTAACTTTGTCCGATAACAAAATTAATACTGCCTGGTGACGTAAGCAATGTACAAACTGAAGGATTAAATTAGGTCATCAAAAGTGTAAATTGTTCACTCTTGCATAACCAGTTTCCGGACATATATTAAGCTGCTATTCAAATCAGTTATTAACTGATAATTATTCTAATAAAACAAAAAAAATTCTTCTCACATATTAGCTTTCTTATATAATTAAGCTGATTTACTGAAAAATATTTATGATAGGAAAAATAACGATCACGTGATGGGTCTCGGAATGACTGAAAAGTGAAACGGATATTTTTGTGTATAGGGCAGCAACAAAGTGCGAAAGTGGAGTGAACCTAGCTAAACACCATTTTCCGATACGTTACAGATTTAGCTCTGGGGATAACACCCGATGAACTTAGAATGAAGTACATTGTGCATTAATTGCTACCCCAAATTATATCCCGAAATAAACAAAATATTGCGCATGCGCAGAACAAATTACATGCCCCAAAGGGATATAAAGCTGTTTTTAAAACACAGGTAAGATATCCTCACGAAATTTTAATGATGTATCAACTTGGAAGGAAGTTTATTTTCTCAAACAATCAAACCAAGCCATTTTCATGACATATAATACCGATCGTTATCTATAAAGACAAAATTAAGCCGTTATAATACTTGTCCGGAAACTGGTATTGTTCGGAAACTGGTTCCTGCCCAGTAAGGTAAAATATTATGTTAAGGTAAAGATGCAGTCTCTTGTAGATATATGCATGCATTATACATGCATTATACATCCTGTTATTCAATATAAGCAGTGAACTGACATAATGGTGCTGGTAAATCAATAATTAGACAGGTGTTAATACCAGCATCCAGGTAGATGAGACACATTTCTTACTTCTAATTTTGATTGGGCAACGCTTATATACCTTGGCTCTAAAAAAAAAATCATTTTTTTTTGCTGATTATATTTTTTTCTGTGTATATCTATAAAGCGCCTTATCCCCTGTTACTCTTGTTCAATGTGACTGTCAAGTACAATAAACAATTCTAATTATGATACCTGAAAAACATGTACCGTAAAAATTCCTTATAAACACCCCTCCCCTAATAAAAGCCCCCCCCCCCCAGGCTTTTTGATATGGAAAAAAATCTCCTCATGAGTGGTGAACTCTTTAATAAATCCAAAATTTTATTCAAATCCTTCAGCATCCATTTTATTTCATAGTAAACACAAAAATGTATCACATGAACTTTAAAATCTTAACACATTTTAATGTTATTACCAACCCATGTTACACTGAATGTATTTTTCAATGATTTTTGGATTTGTTGTAATAATAGCCCCCCCTTTTGGAAAATGTTTAGCCCCCGGGGGCGTTTAGTAGGAATTTTACGGTAGGTTAGCATTAATCCGCTCTTTTTTTCGGTTTACCTGTAGATCAGGCAGATATCAAAATGTTATAAAATCTCAAATTCATACCTTTCAATGAATTACATAAACCACACAAGCCCAAAATCAATTTAAAAAGCATGCCTATTCTATCGACTGGAAAAGTTCCAAGACAAGAAATAAATGGCGTTTGATTAACTAAGGGACATAACTAAAGCTGGAAGCTTTTACTACAACTATAATAGCTGTGTTTACATTTTGTGATTTATGTTTTTAATCTGAACATTTTCTGTTTCTTTTAAATATAATTAGTAATTCTTGACAAAATAAAATATGTTTACATTTATAAATTGTTCTAAAAATTTTGATATTCATTGAACGACCATTTTTTGCAAACACTTCAGCCCCCAGACATATCACATGATTCTCTTTATCACCTATTACCATGTTGTTCTTTACCTTATCATCATGTTATAACCCAACATCATATATATCATGTCATATCATATCACATTCCATCATATATATCATGTCATATTATATCACATTACATCATATATATCATGTCATATCATATCTCATTACATCATATATATCATGTCATATCATATCACATTACATCATATATATCATGTCATATCATATCTCATTACATCATATATATCATGTCATATCATATCACATTACATCATCATATATCATGTCATATTATACCACATTACATCATATATATCATGTCATATCATATCACATTACATCATCATATATCATGTCATATCATATCACATTACATCATATATATCATGTCATATCATATCACATTACATCATCATATATCATGTCATATCATATCACATTACATCATATATATCATGTCATATTATACCACATTACATCATATATATCATGTCATATTATACCACATTACATCATATATATCATGTCATATTATACCACATTACATCATATATATCATGTCATATCATATCACATTCCATCATCATATCATGTCATATCATATCATTGTATATCATTCATGCCATATCATGTGAAAATCACAACACCTATCAAGTGACTTATTATACTGACATCAGACTGGCCAAAAGTTAGCTCTCTCTCTTTAATGATCAATGCCAAATAAGGAGGCTAAATGTAACATCTTTTATTATTATTTTTGACACAATACAGCCTATGATCTGATGGATCTTTCCGGTTTTTCGTAGCAGAACATTTAGCCACACCTTTTCCATTCATTGCTAGGTCAACTGCTCACAAACAGTATCACAAACATAAGCACGTGTTCTTTTGTGCAAAACAGGTCAACCAGTGACTATGTATTATCTCTGTGTGTAGCGATTGGATAACAAGTTAGCCAATTTACATAAAACTGTAAACACCGGAAAGGTCCATTAGGAAAGTCAATAGAGCACACAAACATATGTAAAATAATGGTACATGATGGGCACTTTCCTTCTAGCCCACTTTGGCACTTTGGCTCAGTTTTTTTGAGGACTACTTTCCCACTGCGGCATGCTTTGTCTAGGACTACTTTTTCTATGACAGAATATTGGTATGACCGACTTACCTCTTACTTCTGTCTCGTTAAACAAAACATGTACATTGTAATGTCCAGGTGAGGGTGGGTTAAAGTGAAGCTTGTAGAAGTTACTGTATTCCTCATTGATGATACAATGTCTTGTCACATCTACTCCATCTTTGATAATCTCCACACGTGTGTTACCTTTCCCTGCTTTGGTGGCATCAGCTGTGAATAAAAGTTGGTAAGTTGTTATTCTCAACTCTGCAAATGTATGTTTTTTCGAGCTAATTCCACAAAAACAAACAATCTTAACTGTTACGGATTCACAGTGCACTAAATTTCACAATAAATGGGTCAGTCTGTTAATTTTCCAAGTTGTAACTGTAAAGGCTTGTTTGCAACTTTAGGTTTTCACGGGAGAAGCCAAAATATTTTTGATTTCAGAGTAAGCCTAACATCATATTTAAGCAAAATGTCTTTCTTAGAATAGCAAATAAATTTGACTTATTGGTTATTGATGAACAATCCATCAAAATGAAATACAAATTTTAACATGATGTTTATAGGGAGCATCATTCTGTTTTATTTGCATGTATGATTCAAATATATTTCACAGAGTGAACATCAAATGCAATATTTTCACGAGTGGCTTAGCCATGAGTTAAAACATAAAGTGCTCATGTTCACAAATGAAACTGATATTCTGAGTATGTTTCTCTTTTATCTTTTTCATACTTTTCCTTTTGAAGTGAACTAGCTGATCTATGTAAGATTTTCAAAGTTTATGTGTTTTTTTTGTTGCTTTTTTTGACCTCAGTGGAGCTCCTATAAGCTAAAAAAAATATATTTAAACTAATATGAGCCGCGTCATGACAAAACCAACATAATGGGTTTGCGACCAGCATGGATCCAGACCAGCCTGCGCATCCGCGCAGTCTGATCAGGATCCATGCTGTTCGCTTACAAACCCTATAACAAGTAGAGAAACTGATAGCGAACAGCATGGATCCTGATCAGACTGCAAGGATGCGCAGGCTGGTCTGGCTCCATGCTGGTCGCAAACCCATTATGTTGGTTTTGTTGTGACGCGGCTCATATAAGCAATCATCTCTATAAAGATTTACACTTAGAATATTACAACATAACAATTACTTTTACCAAAATACTGGTACTATCAATTCCATCACCTTAGTGCAATAACTTGTTAACTCATATTAAATTTAAAAGGACTTAACCCATTACTGTACTAAGGTGACATATTATTCTCCGACTAATATTTGACAACAAAAGGTACAACTGAGGTTACAACAAACACCTTGTATTTAATAAAAAGACTTTAAGTACCATTAAAAACGACACCAGATTCCATAGACCCTCCTTCTAGTCCGTAAACTTTCACCTGTGATGGGTCAAACACGTTGACAGTATAGGGGCTACCAGATATATGTTCATTGTCATACAGCACGGAAACCTCCCATTCTCCTAAAATAATGAAATTTTTAACGTTTATTAAATATAAATAAATATGATTAAGGTTATTAAGCTAATCCTTTGTTTCTTTTATCTGAAAATAAATAGATAAAAACATGATTAATATTCAACAAATTGTGAAAGAATGTTACATTGGCTTTAGATAGGAATAGGAAAACTTTGGGTTCGATCTTTTGTGAATGTAACAATTCATATAACAATTCTATAACTGTTTCCTTGTAAACAGGAATTCAAAACAACAAGCATTTTTTTCAATATGGAAAAATTACAAAAGGGCACCTCAAGATTCAAATTATTTTCTAAATATTCTGACCTGCGTCAAACAAATGCCATTTTATCATGTAAACAGATTTTCTCAATTTGGGATTCAAATTTGATGCTAAGAATGCAAATGAACCATTTCAACTGTTTTATCAATAAATGTCTCTAAATATATTCATAAAAATTCATAAATACACTTGATCCCAACGATTTCCTATGTAAAACACATGTAAATTTTTGTTTTGTTTTGTTTTGTTTTTATTTTAAGACCATTATGATCATTTTCCAGAAAGAAAATTTAAGGTTTCATCGAAATTTAATTTTCATATAGACTGGCAAAATTTAACATAGTTACATGTATCAAAAAATAATGAAAACATCATTCTTGACAATATTACATAAGCCCTGCATCAGAGTTATTACATAATAATTCTAATATTGATAACAAATTCAAACAATGACATCAATATTCCTGAACAAAATAAATAAAGGCATAACATCTACCTTAAGCTTGTTAAAATTTGGGATATTTTGCCACTTCCTATATTTGGGAATTTTTTTTTTCCAAACCCCTAAATGTTATACCTGTAACATTAATGATTGCTGACTCTGATGTTGTAGATATGACAAAATTAAATATTCATGACCTTACTATAAGAACAAAAAGACAGCGTGCTTGACTATTCTCACCGCTTGATGGTAAAACAAGAGCCTGTAAAATGTAGAACTTTCTCCGAATTCAAAAATCCATGTAAGAGTTCTGGGCCTTTGACAGTGACCTCCTACAATGCTCTCTAATGAAAGTACACCCCGATCACTTAAGAAATTTTGGAGAGTAACCAACATGAACGCAAAAACTTAAGCAAAGAGTAATGTTGATGCAACAGCGAGAAAAGTTGCTCTCCCTATTCTTCGAATAGTAAAGCTAACATGATGCAAGGCACTAACAAACAATATCTCAAAGATATCTCTTATTAAGAGAGTTAAGCTACCGTATACCCGAGTGTCATCAACATGGCCATTATCAATGTTTCAAATGAGACAGACCAAAGGACATATTAACAACTATCATAATTTTAATTATGTTTTTCTAATTTTTAAAAAGCATCAATATTATATACAGGAAGTATTATGACCATGTCTGTATTTTATATAAGCTTGTGGTAGATGGAATACCTTAATCATAATGTTGGGGTTAGCCCTTACCCTGCTGTATTTGTGTAATGAATTTGCCCTGCCTTGAATTTGGAACAGTCCATTAAGAAAATTAAGGGATTTCAATATCAAAATATAAACAGAGCACAGCATGTGGTGTTAACGTTCGTCTCAAAAAAAAATCTATGTTAAAAAGATTTATAACCTTCAGAATTATGCTCCTTGTCAAACAACTGGACATTGCCATAATTAGCAAGTATTCTGTGTTTTATGTCGATAACTTTTAAAATGTTTTTATAATATGGGCTACATTAAAGTTTTTGCATGATGAAAACTACCGCAACAATGATGCCATAGCGATCATAATAGTGCAAGTTTTTCCTCAAAACAATGGCGCTAAAAATAAGCCAACAGTATAGCCCCTTGTGTGTAGGCCGACCCTGATGTACACTGGTGGCGAAGGCTTATCAGCTCTGGTACCAGCAGGGTAAGGGTTTTATTTTAGCAACAATGATATACTACCTTACAGACACATCTGAAAGTTTATAAAAACAAATCTAGAACAAAAATAATCATCATAATGATGTATTTAATATTTAAGTTAAAGCAAGAATATAGCACCTTTGCCTCTATCAGAAATTGTTCCTTATACAATGGAAAGCACCAATCATTATTTAAGTTTTGCAAGATATTTTTAAAGCTTTTTTTAGGCTGAGTTTCAAGTCACTACAACACTGTGCGTGATATGTCAGCATTCCTAATAGTAACTTGACTGGTTGCATAAGACTTTAAAATGTCCTTATGTGCATTCTTTAAGCCTGAGTAGAGCCACCATCCATCTGCAAGCTTATTAGTTAGATAACATTGAAGTATAAGGCTGTTTTTGCATTCATTTGTATTTTGACCAATTTTTATATATTATAATATTCTCTGTAAATAGTGTAACTTTAGCTACTTGACCAATATTTGTTTTTTTATTCAAAAAATTTAAATTTAAATAAAAGGCATATTAAAATGTCAAGTCAGTAGTTTTAGCTGTTAACTCTAAAAAGTAGTCGGTTAAAAAAAACTGAACTTCAAAATATCAAAATTACAACAAAAGTTATTTATTAACACTCTGACAATACAAAAAAAAATATTATTGCTATGTCTGTTTTCTATGAATTCAAATTAAATATATATCATACAAAAATTATTATTATAATAATTAATCTACACATATAACACAAAAGCAACCAAATTAAGATGTAAAAAAGTTATTTATACCTAAGGATTTAACACATCAATTAAATTAAATTCAATTTAGTAAAAGAATATATTAACAATCATTTCAGATTGCATTTTATTTTTAAAATATTTTTTTTTTATATTTCATTGGAGTCAGCCTGTGACAGTCATAGATCAGTCATTATCATTTATATACGAGCCGCGTCACGACAAAACCAACATTATGCATTTGCGACCAGCATGGATCCAGACCAGCCTGCGCATCTGCGCAGTCTGATCAGGATCCATGCTGTTAGCTTACAAACCCTATAACAAGTAGAGGATCTGATAGCAAACAGCATGGATCCTGACCAGACTGTGCAGATGCGCAGGCTGGTCTGGATCCATGCTGGTCACAAACCCATTATGTTGGTTTTGTCATGACGCAGCTCATAATTTAATTTCCAATTAGATGATGTTCCATTACTTCATACAAGTAATTGGACACTTCTCCATGACATGATAATTTTATAAAATTATTCAGTACATATGTAACAAAATATCAATATAGTTCTATGTATATACAGGTATGAATTACATACAGTTCTGATTACAATGATCTAGTTATATAAAATATAGGTAATAGGGATAATTATTACATTAACCTTTAACCTGCTGGAACTGAAAATGATTAGAGCCAGGCCAAACTGTACTTCTGTGTAGTCTGACCAGGCCCTATACTGTTGGCTGACTGCTGATTTCCCAAAAAGGTTCCAAAAATGAAAGCTTGAAAGATACATAATGAAATTCAGCAGGTCAAAGGTTAAGGCATCTGCTTCTTAAAACAAGTAAACTTCCATGAAAGAGTTCCCTCAAATATTCACAGTGCTTGTCAGTAAGAAAAGGGGCATGACTATGTGAAAAGGTAATTCAGAGTAATGGGACCTGAGCCCATCATGTTAGATAATCACAGATAACAAGTGTGTGAAGTTTCTACCAATTCTTTTCAGTTAAGTTTTGGAGATACCAACTTGCACATAAAAACTTGACAAAATGTGATGCCAGACACATAGGTGAGTTTAGTAGCTCTCCTCAGTAATATACCTTAAATAGTCAGGGTAAAAATGACTTATTCAAAAAAAGGACAAAATTCAAAAACATCATAGGGATAATTAATACTGGTTGGCTTTGGTACATTGTTGAATTAGCAAAAGTTTTTTTTTAATAAGACTTTTGATATGGGTTGAATTCATTACTTATTTATGCTTATAACTGTAATTACTTACTGCTGTAAGCTGGAAGATAACTATACATCCAAATTGCTGGGACAACATCACAAAAGCTTATTAAAAGCAAGGGAGGTAACCTAGCAATGTTTCTATTCACAAGGGAGGCAAATACCAGACCAGGCAAAACCCTTTTTATGAAGGGGAGTTAACTACAGAATTAGACATTGGTTCTACAGGCAAAACAGAGGCATACAGACTTGCGCAGACTTCAAAAACATGCATGTACATGTAATTACTAATCTATTCTGTTAACAAGACTTTAAAGTTTTTAATTAAACTTTCTAATTAACATATAATAAACTATTAACCATGCAGTCTAACTACATTTTAGATTGGAATACAAATAAGAGGGCCATAATGGCCTTGAAATCGCTCACCTGTATATAGGCCCCTGGGCCAAGGCCAATTTTAAACCAGGGGCTTTTATTTGAACAAACTTGGTAGACACCCATAAGAAGATGTTTCATGATAAATATCTAAATTCTAGCTCTTTGGGTTTTTACTTATAAGAAGATTTTTTAAGTTTTTACTATACACATATAAGGGATATCAACTACCCCCAGGGCGGGGCCAATTTTAACCCAAGGGCTTTTATTTGAACAAACTTGGTAGACACCCATTAGAAGATGTTTCATGCTAAATGTCTTAGCTCTAGCTCTTTGGGGTTTTTAAATGAGGATTTTTTGAGATTTTACTATATTGTAACATAAAGGGAAAAACAATGACCCCCTGGGGCGGGGCTAATTTTCACCCCAGGGCTTTTATATGAACAGACTTGGTAGACACCCACTAGAAGATGCTTCATGCTTAATATCAAAGCTCTAGCTATTTTGGTTTTTTAAATGAAGATTTTTTAAGTTTTTACTATATACAAATAAGGAAAATCAATGACTCCCCTGGCGGGGCCAATTTTGACCCAGGGCATTTATTTGAACAAACTTGGTAGACACTGACTAGATGATGTTTCATGCCAAATATTTAAGCCTGGCTCTTTCGGTTTTCTAAAAGAAGACATTTTAAGTTCTTTTGGTTGCCATGGCAACCAGAGTTCTGCTTGGAATAAAATTCTTAGAACAATTTTTTAAAGTTGACTACAAAAGGAACATTCCTGTGATGTTTGGATGAAATTGGCTTAGCAGTTTATGAGGAGATGTCGTTTAAAGTAAAAGTTTACGGACGAACGCCGAATGAAAAGCAATCACAAAAGCTCACCATGTCACTTTGTGACAGTTGAGCTAAAAAGTTATGATAAGAAATCCAGGCTAAAATATAACATTTGTTTAAAATAATAATGTATGTAAAATACATTTTAAGCAATTTATAATAATATCCAAATATAATTTATGATAAGAAATCCAGGCTAAAGTAAAAACAATTATATAATGTAAATTATTTTTTTAGCTATTTATCATTACTAAACATTTCATTATTCATCTTCCAAAACATATGTATTTGCAACCATTTATGACTAATTACTAAATAATATCAGTATATATCATAAAGTATCAAATGCAAAATCTACTTATTTACTTAAAAACATTAACAACAACAAAAACAAATGATGTTCAGGCATTTGCAGTGATGACCAAATTTTTTCAAGATTTGCTTTTTTTTTTCTGTTCTTTTTATAAATGCCAACCAGCTTCCCTGGAAAACTGACCAGTACTGACTCTGCAATAAACCGACTCATAAGTAATCCCACATGAGATCCAAGACGGAAAAGGCTAGGATTTTTAAGATTTTAGGTACCACCTAGTAATGGATCAAACCTTATCAATCTACCACAAAGTCTTCTATTGGCAAACAAAAAGAGATTTAGCTATTAAACTTGAGAAATAGATAATGTAATTATACTATGTATAGTCAGCACAGAGAACTGTAGTGTTTGTGTAACAGGACAAAATATTAGTGTGCAAGACAGTAGTAATATTTTGTGCTAGACATATCCCACAGTGCTCTAGAGTGCCGTACGTAAGGTATACATACCGACTTCTGTTGGGTTAAAGTTAGAAATGTAGTTTCCGCCATGGCGGGGGACTGCACTGATTTTCATCGAGCGACCGCTTGGTGCGCGTACCTCAATCTGTACATCACCGTCACCTGCAGTGGCACTGTTCACCTACATTGTAATAAAAATGTTTTAATACCATAACCTACGTATACTACAGACAATATATCTAAAACATTTTATGTCTTAAATACATTGGCTTATATAGACATAATACATCTAATATCTAAAACATTTATGTCTTAAATACAAGTCAGATATTTTTAATTTCAGCACTGTCTTAAATGTATGCAAAATATATAGCACTATTTAGTTGATGTGATAACTTTCTCCTTGCAAAAAACACAACTAATTGTTTGATTCTTGAGTTTTACTCTTGTTTATAAGTCTATTTTAAATGTTTACGGGCAGTCATTTGTCTAAACAAAGCTATGTGGATTTTCTACTAATAACAATGTGTTTTTTTCCTGCATTGATTACCTGCAAAAAACCTCAACAAAGATTTAACATCCTAGCTGTAGTGAATCATTGGCATCAGACATTTTCCTGACCATTTAACGTTTTGCATCTTTAAAAATATATGTCATTCCAAAGAATGCCTAACCTTGTTACAGTTATAATTGGTCCAGCCTTGAATGTAAACTATGACATAGTTACCAAGACTGATGGACGACACAAAATCTAAATCCCCCTGTCTTCCAACATAAAGTTTAGAATCAATGAAACTATATTACAGTTAAACAAACCTGCAGTTCGGTGAGTGTTCCCAGAGAGCAACTGTCAACAGCAGAAAGTGTAACTTTAGAGCGGTCAGCTAGAACTTTAAATGAGGCAGGGCAGCCATTAATCACCTGACCTTCACAATATACATTCAACTGAAATACAAAAAATACATATCACCTATAAAACTAAGGAAAATTGCAAGGTAACCACTTACATTTGCAATTTATGTTCAACATGTTAATTAAGGTTAGAGGTTATAGAAATGGGTTCCTACCTCAAAAATGTATCTCAGGTCTAGGTACCGGATTGGCCAGAAACCAGCCAGCCAGGAACCAGTACAGAATGTACACTGACCAATGAAAATACTTGGAGACAATGTAAGCTCGGAAAAATTATTTAAAACCTTCAGACCTGATATATTCTGTATATTCTAACCTAACATAAAATGGTAAAATGAACTTTATGAAATAATATACTATTACATTATTGACAAATAAATATTATAAATCAGGGAGCCAGGGGCTTTGAATACAACTTGATACTGCCAACAACATTAGCTATATAATTACTTTTATGAAGGTATGAGAGACATAATATATCTCTATGAAAATGAAATTCTACACTTCAGTAATTCAAGTCTGATATTCAAAATATTTTTTTTTGTAAATATCAAGTTTAAAACCTTTAACAATACACTCATCTTCTAATGTATCATTATACAAAAGCTTAAATGTCCAACCTCAGCACACAAAAAATCCACATTGTCAACATCATTTAAGCAGGAAAATATAACAAACATATTAAGGAAAACTTGTTTAAATTTCAAGGATGTTTTTACAATATCATTTACTCTTCCTCTATCTGTTATATTATATTAAACACCTGAACAATTGAACACATTTTTCTAGAAAGCTATACCTGGAAACTATTAACCTAGTCCATAATTTATAAATATACAAAATTAATAAACAAGTTAAGCTAACTGTCACAGTTTAATGTAAAATCAAGGGAATCACAAGCTATATAAAAGATAATGCAAATTTTTCTTGAAATATAATGATTTGTTTGATATAATTATTTTACCCTGTGCAGTCCTGTTTCGGTTGGTGTGAAGTAACCATGTCCGGTTCGTCCGACCCAGTTAAAGTGAACATTGTGCACGGAGTCGGGACCGATGATTTCAGCACGGATATCTCCAGGTGATACATCATCATCCTCCAAACTGATGGCAAAACTTGCCTGTAAAAAAATGACAAATTAGATTTATTAGCAAAATTACCAAGTTAGATTTCTAAAGCATACACCATACAGTTAACATGCAACTTCAACATCATCATCATCCATGCTGATGGCAAAACTTGCCTGAAACAAATGACAAAATTAATAGATTTAAAAGTAATATTACCCTGGTTATACTCCAGAGCATGCACAATACAGTTAAAATTTAACTTTTATATCATCACCTTTATGACTGCAAAACAAATTCATCGTCAACGCTGCAAACTACAAAGTTGCCTTAATGAAACAATTAAATTCTTCATCATCTTCGGGACCACAAAATTATTCTGGTACAAAAAATCATGATGCCGCTTTCAATGTATACTGTATACTTTAAAACCTAAGTGATGAAGGTAGAAGGTTTAAGTTATTCATATGATGCCAGCCTAGCTATAAATATAAATATTCAAATGCAAATATAAGAATATCTTTGGTTTTTTTAATTATTAAATCGGACAAAAAACTCGGAAAAAAAAAATTATTATGTCATCATAAGAAAAAAGCAATTAATTCATCTTTTCCCTACAACAATAAAAAATGAGTGCCTTTCAATCAAATTCATTAAGTTATGTTAAAAGTTTACATAAACTTTTAAAGCGTCTATTTCAACAAAACAGAGCAAAATACTTATAAATTATTTTTATAAACAGTTGATTTACTAGACTGATTCATGGTTTGCCGAATAAATTAATTAGTGGTCAATTAAAGACTAAAAGTTATTTTTTTTAAATATAATTATATTAAGCATTTAACTAAGTGTGGAGATATTTTGAAATATTGTTCTGATCTTGGTCTTTTATGTACATCCATAATATTGTATTTTTTTTTTTATTAAACTCCAGATAAATTCCAAAAAGGCCAAAAAAAATGATATCTACTTTCTATCTAACTACTATCTACATTAAAGGAAACATCATTTTCATTTATTTTATTTTTTTTTGAAAAAATTTAAGCTGCATTAAGTTAATATGCTCACCATATTGCATACTATTTTAAATTAAACAGCAAAAACAAAAATTTTTATTTTTCTCAGAAAAAACAAAAAGAAAAAAATTTTATAATTTTTGATCATTTTGGGTGAATAATAAAAAATCATAAAGAAATTAAAGTTTTCCAAATTTCCCCAATTTGGGTTTAACCCCCCTTTTTTTTTTTTTTACCTTCAGCAATTAAAAAATATTGGTTTCTAAATTTTTTTATAATAAAATAAAATGCTTGAAATGGGAAAATTTGAAAAGAAAAATGCCAAAAAACTATTGGAATCATTTATTAAATTTTTTTTTTTTAGTAAAGGTTTTTAAAATTAAAAAATGTGGGGTTTAAACCTTTTTTATTTCAGTAATTTTGCAATGTTTATTTTAAAAATGAAATAAAATTTTTTAAAGATTTTAAATTTTAATGACAGTTTCAATTTAAATTACAATTTTTATATAAATACATGTAAGACATGATGGGGATGCCCCACAAGCCATTTAGGGAAAATATAACCCAGTTGCTGCCTCAAAAAAAGTTGTTTGCAAGTAAAATCCTCTTCATGTTTCTATTTTGTCTTTTCAAAAATATATGAAAAGGTTTCTTTAAAGTGATTGATCCAGCCATATAAAAATTTGGGCAACTTTTGTTTAATAAGACGGATTATGTCTGAATTTAGTATTAACTTTTTTATTTTCAAAATGTCAATGGAAAATTGAGACTCATCTTTTAACATTATTTTTTTTTTCCTGTTCTAAAAATAGAATTTTACAAAAAGCTTGATTAAAACATAGTTTAGCCTTACCGTGGCTCCATAGAATGCATTTAAAGGCGGGAATGAAAACGATATATTTTTTGCTGCCCTATTTTTGTGTAATGAATTCCTATTCCGGTCGAACACGGAAGACCGTTTACTATCTGCCCGAACCACGCCCTGATTATACACAGACGATCTCTGAACATTTTCACGTTTTGCCACATTTTCATTCACGTCACCCACACCCGGTTTGTAATCCTCTTTTACTTCTACAAGATTTTTTCGCGCTGTAGACATAAACACCTCCGATCTACGCCTTCCTTGATGGACAACATTTTTATCCCCTTCATATTTCTGTATTAACACATTCATTGCTGGTGATCGTGTGAAACTCATTTCCAATTTTTATATCGTAACACGACTCAAGAATATGGCAATTAAAATAATTTATCGCATCCCAATCTATCCAACTACAACGATGCTTATAAAATTCTTATATCCGAAACATCAAAATAAATAATCCTGATGCTTTTTTTGTCCGGCTGTCATCCAACTACCCCGCCTTAATTTTCAAAACTCGATTATTGTTAAGTTTAACTATGGTGTAAAGAATGTTACTCCTGATTCAAGTTTCATGTCAACTTGATTGTTCATTTGATGTATAGGACTATTTTAGTTGTACCATGAAATGATGACCTACCAACATTTTTTTCCAGTTCAACAATCAGCATTCTTAAAAAGTTATATTTCTTTTGTAATTTTTACGACATTGGAATAATAATAATTGTGTCATTTATGGGGTCAAAAAGTAATTTTTATATAGAAATCTACAAAAAAGTAAACACATGTTCATTTTATTTAAAAATTAATAAGGTAGGAAGTAAGGTACACATAATCTTATTGAAACATATATAAATGTAACAGGAAAAATTTCATCAGCATATTTTTTTTTTAAAAAGCTCCCGTGCCCTGTTAAACTGAAGTATTCTTAATGGAGTGCAATGTCTATTTTTAGTTTATTATCACATAGTTACAGTATCTGAGCAGACAACAGTTTAGGCCATATTGCTTCTTACTGGTCATTAGCTCGAATTGTTCTCTTAGAATGTTAGTGATAAAGGTGTCTGACATATAACAATTGGGATCATAGGTTTGAGCACTATACAAGTCACATGTCCTTATATTAGACATATCATACCAGTACAGAAAAGACTTGAAATTAATAATGGTGATATTTAAGCCACTCCAAGTCTAAATATTCTTTTACATTTAGCCATGAATTTTTCAATAAAATCTTTTTAGCATGAATAATCAGTAACTCATGGAAATTTCTATTACATGTACTATAAATGTACCAAATACAAAAATGCTCTGAAAACAGGTAATGTCAATGATTTTTTTTTAGAAACTTCAAAAAAGAGCTCAAAAAGCCAGGAAGCCAACAAAAAAATCACTTTGAAATTCTTACATAGATCAAGTGAAGCACTCAAAGTGGAAAAATCTGCAAAGGATAATAAAGACATATACTTAGAATTAAATTGAATTGAATATCAATTTTTTTGTGCAATTCTTAGCCTGATTTGAGAGAAAAACATTGCCATGCTTTTCATTTTTTGGGTCATTAATTCTGGAAAAGGAGGTGAGGGACTGATATGAAAATTTGCACACAAGTTACTGGTTCAAACTTGCATCAAATGGTACAACAATCTTCGAAAAAAATTTCCTGTCCCTTCATATAAAAAAAAACCCTAAGTGCAGTCCTATAAAATAATACAACATAAAAAAAAATAATAGGCTTTTGAGAAATAAAAATAAAAGCATTTCTGGTGAAAAATTGTCCTTTAAGATGCATACAAGAAATAAGTTTTTTCAAATGATCTTATAACTATAACTTTGATAGTAAGTACACATTAAAGATGATGATGGCAATAATGATGATGATATGGTGACAATTTTCCTCCTTAAAGAATTGTCATTTAAATTAACGTTGGTATGGTAAAAAAAATTAATTAAATTGATACTTGCAAATACAATTTTTAACCAATCTCTTTTAAAATGTAAAGTAAACATCTACTGACTTCATGCAGTGAAGATATGTTGTTTTAAACTCAAATACACTACAGGAAAACCCAGTGTGAATGCATAGTGTCATTAAAAATTGGCAGTCTTTTGTGGGTGTTTTTTTTTTTTTTTTTTTAAAGAAATACCAAATTATAAATTAACTAGTTATAGGGAATGCAGCTTCCAAAACATAGTATGTGCCTTCTCTTACTCAAATTAGACATATTCAGAAAGAATTCAATAAATTTCGGCAATAAAAATATTTTACCTACAAAATGAGCATAGAATATTTTAAATATGACTGACAATAATTTGAAATATGAAATTGTGTAAACACCACTGACCTCTTGATCAACTGGTGAATTTTGTGGTAGAGATGAGAAGACCACTTTCTCTGATGCTGATCGCACAGGTTTGAATCTCAGGAAATAAGCTGCATAGGCCATGATACCAATATGGTCCACCTCTGGGTCTGCCATGTCTTTAGCTGGCAGGATGGGCTCAATGCCTACTCCCTTAGCACCATCAATACCTAAAAATAGATTTAATCTCTCATGATTGTGCATTTGTCTAACTGATTTTCATTTGAATTCAAGTAATGGACTTGATCTACTCTGAATTTTGAACTGTCCTTTCATAGTAAAAATAAAAATTGAACAGTCCTTTCTTAAGTTGAAATTTTGAACTGTCCTTTCTTAGTTTGAAAGAATTCAGGAAAATTGATATACCATGTAAATTTATCTGCAATTTAAACTGTGAATTTAATAACTTCTATTTTAAGTAATGCACACATTAATTTAACTGCAAACATTGCATTTTTTGTTGACATGGGTAAAAGATGTTGAAATTCAATATACAATGGCTTATTACAAACTATTCAGAATATACAGATATAATATATGCAATGATAATATAAAGTTTATGTACCACAGTGATCATGTTGTAAATATGCATTATTTATGTTTATTTACTGCACTCTGAAATCACTTATACATTTTGTATTACAATAGATTTCTATTTTTCCTGTGCAACAGGTTTCTCAAAATATAAAATGTATACAGTGAAATCTAATAGCTTCAAACCATATTTGAAAAAAAAACACAACAAGGGTAAATCTAAATGCCCGCCACTAACGTGGGGGCACAAAAACAAAAACTAGAGCTGCCAATAGGACAGCATGCTCAACTTTTGTTAGTGCTTGATAGTAAAACATTGAGAGCCTGGATAATGTTAGAATTTTGGAAGTTGAAAAAGGGCCATAATTCTGTCAAAATCCATGTTGGAGTAATGGGCATTAAAAAGTGACATTCTATCATGCACTCAAATAAGTGTGTGAAGTTTCAGCCTACTGCCTTCAGTAGTTTTGGTGATACCACTAACTTGCCCACAAAAATTTAACCATAGTGAGACAGTGCTGCTATAATACACAGTAGCTTCCATTATTCTTTGAGAGGTCAACCTTAAAACCACATTCACATTTCATAGCATCTCTTGCATTCTTAGCATTAAGAAATTATTAGTATATAACTATGTATTTGTATGCATTATGCAAAAGTCACTGTTCATTAACTTTTAAAACACCAATGTGTTTTAAACTTTTATCATTTATAATTGTATCAATTATGTTACAATATATACATGACTGTCACAGATTTTATATTAAATTTTCATTCCAATCAAAGGCACTAGGCAGTAAGAAGACATTTTAAATTGAGATTTTGCTCTATACAACCCCTTGCTTAATCACACTGGGTATAAAAGCTTACACCTGTTTATATATATATAGTGACATATATTCTTTATAAAAAAAACCCATACAACTTATGATAACCTTAACTATCTTTGATAATTTATTCAGAGAAACAAAATACAAACTATAAATGTGTCCACAGGACACGGGTGCCCCCACCGCGCCACTGTTCTGTCAATCTTATGACTCTAGGTCAAATATTTTTTGAAAACTAAAAATCTTTTACTAAGTAAAGGGCAAGAACTTTACAAATACTGAATAAATCCACAAGCAAACCCCAAGGTGCATAAGTACACATGCTGACCAACATTCTTGTAAACTTTCAGGCCTACAAGTGAAATACTTTTTGAGCTATGCATGAACAAGTTGAAAATTGCAAATTTATACTACAGTAAGTCAAGGGCAATAACTCTAACAAAACTGAAAAAAATCCACATGCAAAGTCCCAGGTTCATAGCTTCACAGTGATGTGAATCATTATTCCTGTAATTTAGTGATGTTGATCATTATTCCTGATCTAACTCAAGCACTCAAGGAACAAATAACAACATAATGAAACGGTTTTTACTAAGTCAAGGGAAATAACTCTACAAATACTGGATAAATCCACAAGCGAAACCCCAGGTGAAAAACTAAATATGCTGAGCAACCTTCCCGTAAGGTTAAATGACTCTATGTCAAATCCTTTTTGAGTTACATGCGACACAAGTTGAAAATTGCAAAAATTTTCTAAGTCAAGGGCAAAAACTCTAAAAATACTAAATAAATCCAGACGAAAACACCCAGGTGCACAACTACACAAGTCATGCTGATCAACATTCCTGTAAAGTTTCATGACTCTATGTCAATTACTTTTTGAGTTACATGCGACACAAGTTGGAAATTGCAAAATTTTACTAAGTCAAGGGCAATAACTCTAAAAATACTAAGAATGTCCAGACGAAAATACCCAGGTGCACAACTTCACATGCTGATCAACTTTCCTGTAAAGTTTCATGACTCTAGGTCAATTACTTTTTGAGTTACATGCAACACAAGTTGAAAATTGCAAAATTTTACTGAGTCAAGGGCAATAACTCTACAAATACTAAAAATATCCAGACGAAAATACCCAGGTGCACAACTACACATGCTGATGAACATTCCTGTAAAGTTTCATGACTCTAGGTCAAATACTTTTTGAGTTACGTGCGACACAAAAGAGAACGGACGGACGGAAGGACGGACGGACGGACAAGGGTAAATCTAAAGTGGGGGCACAAAAATATAGAATCCTATCTATAAACATTTGGACATGTCATAATAAAAATAATAACTATTTAAAGAGGCTAAACCATTGTAACAAGGTACATATTTACAATCATACAGTTATGACTGTATTCAAAACTACTAGATGAAACTTCACCTTGCATATTTTCTAAACATAAGAACATCTAAGCCCACATAAAACTTCATATATATATACAAACAGAATAGAAAATCTATCTGATCAAGTTACCATTATAGTTTCACATATTTTCTGTAATAGGATGCTTCAGTGCATCACGGGAGACTACTCTGTGTAATACTATCTTCTTTTATAAGGGAGAAAACTCTACTTGTCAACAATATTTGACCTGATTGAGTTACCTGTAATTCTTCAAGGAAACCATTTTAATGTAACACAAGAAAAGCATTGATGCAAAGCATCAAAGGGCGTCCAAGCAACAAATGCAGCAAGTGAAGATGAACTAGTAGACATATGATGACAAGATATTCTTATAAACTTTTCAATGGTTTTTACCAGAATTGTATATCACTTATGAATGAGCGGACGAAAGACATTGTTCATTATGAACTTTGATTGGCATGCTAGAGATTAGAATATTACTTGTTATTTCTTTATGACCGTGGTTATTAATAGCAACGGATTTTGTGTGTTTGCGTTTGTTTACCCTCGCCACTGGAAAGAGACCATATGGGCGATCAACGGATATACATGTATACAATCATTTATAATCCATATGTGTAACGCATGATCAACACCACACTTGTGTAATTGTCCCTTATTATGTTATCGCTATTAGCGAAGACTCCTTCTTAAGGTATCTATTCACACTTAGTAAAAATATGACACTGGTTATATTACCATGTTGATCATGTTGAGCATAATTGTTTATTATACAATAATTGTAATATCTATTAATTTTGATAAAAAAATTACAGATTTTATGAATATTGTTTTGTTTTCTTTTTTTGTGTTTTATGTGCTATTTTATGTTTACATACTTTTTTAAATTTAAATTGTAAAATAAATTTTAAGAATTCAATTGTCATATTGACCGACGATTATAAGTAAAAAATTAACTGGAAAAAGTCAGTAAATAATGGTTAATCTTTCAATATATAATATTGTTTATTCTTATATTCTTAAACCATGTACATTTGTATTTTTCTTTATCATTTTTTAAATTATCAATCAATAATTCATAAAATCTAATTTGTAACTTTGAATAATTCCTCGGCATCTTTACTAACCACGAATAACAAATTAAATAAAATGTTTCAAAGTTGATAGTGTCGTATTAATACCATAAAAATGTACCTTTTTTCTCAATTATTGTACATATTTATTGTTTTTATCTCATAAAGATAAAATGAAACATGCTATTGTTGTTGTTCTTGTTTTTTTTTTTCGAATTGTATGTTTATGTATAAAAATAATCAATAAATTTGAGAGTTGATCTGTGTTCATTAATTATTGTAACCAAATTAACTGACAAACATTCATTTTGGAAAAAAAGCTTATTTATCTGTAAATTATTTGTTCTGTTCTGTAACGATATCAAACATCTACTCCAAAACCGGGAGAGACCGGACAATAAACGTGTGGTCACTAGTAAATCCAGGTCAAAATAGACCGGGAGAGACCGGGAATTACCGATAGGAGCACATCCCTCTATAAATAGATTTTCGGAATATTGAGGTCATCAACTCATCATTCTATTTACAGCTTTCGGATAAATGTACAACAATAACATACCATAATAACCCACTGTGTAAATAAAAAAAACGAAGAGCGCGATTTATTGACGGAAAAGGTTATTTCATTTGAAATTGTTTGCAAGTTCGCTATTCATTGTACCACGGATTAATTAATAATCAAGAATCGGAATGATCGGCTTTTATTATGACCGACTAAAAGGCTCGAGAAGTTGCTGTCGCCCTTTCACAAAATCTGATTTCATTCCATAAAGGGGCGCCGCGCTTCGGCGCGGACGCCAATGATATACAAGACTGTATGCTTCATTTAATACAGGGTGACAACAGGCAAATTTTAAATATCTAAGGGAGACAAATCAAGTTGTATTAAGGTAGAAACTTGCAAGAGTACTGTTTTCTTATTTTGGAATTACTAATTGAACTTTAAACAGAAATAATTTCAAAGATAGTTTAGAAATATACTTTGAAATAAATTGAAAATCGTATTTTTATGCTTTTCTTAGCCCAAATTTGAGTGAAAAGCATTTCAACGCTTTTCATTTTGGGTCAATTTTTTTACAATTTGAATAATTATTCTGGAAAAACGTAAAGCGCAAATGATCTGAAATTTTGCACATAGATTAGTGGTCTAAACCTACATCAAGTGGTACATTTATCAGGAAAAAATATTTTCAGTCCCATCATGTCAAAAAACCTCAGCCTTTAAAGTGAAGTTTATTTTATACTCCCTTGTGTTTATAAGACAGTATTATTCATTCAATACAAATAGAAAATTCTATCTAATACATATATCACAGATAAAATGCAAAAAATACCCATAAATGTCCCTAATCTTACTTATTATTCTCTGAAAGATATTTTCCAGAACTTAGCAAAAGTTTGTTTTTTTGTTATGTAATATTTCTAGGAGTACAATCAAACTTATACCAGAATACCCTCATCGGTGCACATCCACTCACAACAGAGTAATCAAAGTGTTGCATAAATAATTAGTTATCAATAAATTTGCCAAGTTTTTGTACCCAGGGATCAGATGGGGGCAAAAATCAACATTTGACCTAAGTTCCATCGTATCTCTGTTGGTAAAAATTTCCATTTTTATAATTTGATCAGAATGAACATTTATATTTAACAGTAATAACAGCAGTAACTTACCCATTTGCATACATTCTACAGGATTATCAGACAGAGATGGCCACCCAGGAACATTCCCACCAACAGCATGAACCAATCTACACAACAGCTGACCGTTGCTCCAATCACTCTGAGAAAATAATCAAACAATTTGTTGAAAAAATATTTAAATTAGCACAAAAAGTACAAAAAAGGTTCTACAGTCACCATGACATGTGTAGTTCACGGTTACTTTTCTAAGGATTGGCCATATAAAACTAATTTAATAACATATGCATTGTATGTTACCTATTAGCATAGGCAATTACAAAGGCAAAGAATTTGTCTATCAAAATACTTACTGTAAAATTATTGACAGTTCCTCCACGTAATAATCGGCGCACCAAGCTCAAGGTCGCGTGGTAACCAGGGGAGTCGACCTTCATAAAGTAGGACAGATACGTCATGCCAGATAACTCGTCCAGATCAGTACTTGATAAATCCTCGGGCCGTACGACCAGGGGAATATCAAAATGCTCCTTCGCGAGCATCATGGCATTACGACAATTATCAAGTCTGAAAATAAACACGGTGTCACATGATAATCATTATAAGACAATATTCAAATATGTAAAACAAAACTTTGACATTGTTACAGTATTTCATTATAATGAAATAATAATTATTAAATAAGAAGCTATGCACGACCACAAGCCGGGCAGGACGTGAAGTGGTTGCACACTTGGTTTATTTTTTTTAGCCAGTTGCCAGTTGCAAACTTGACAAAATGGTTATCTACGTATTCATGAAAATTTATTACACTTGTATTTACTTTCTCCAGGTAAGTGGGTTGGTTTGTTATTTTGAAGTTTTTTAATATGCCCAACCACTTCACATCCTGCCCCTTGAACCAGTGACTATTTATCAATCATCCCAGTTTATTACATGCTTTGCAATGGAAAGTGAAATCATATTTGATAATTTTCACAGTGAAATTATATTTGATAATTTTCATTGTAGATGGACTATATATGAATGGGGATGAAAATAATATTTCATCACTAAATGGTCAATTATCAACAGGAATATAGTCAGTCATTTGTAAATTTTGCTTCTCCTAGAGAAGCAAGTAAATAACTGCATACATAGTGTTAAAATTGTAACAAATTCACAAAATTTTACAGATTCTGAACTAAATTTCAACATTTGTATGGTGACACCATGATGTGATGACGTCATGAAAAAGAATGCTTGACATTATATGGCAAAACAAGTAAAATGTCTTAAAATCACTAAAAAAGCATAAAATAAATAGAAAATTTGTTTGTTTTGCATGCAAGATTGAAATATATTTCAATCTTACATGCAAAACAAACAAATATCCTCTATGTGGCTAATTGGATAGCGATTCAGCCAATTTGCATAAAGATGTAAACATTTTCAAAGTCTATTTATCTTCAAATAGGCTTACGGCCATGATCCTAAGGATAAACTACAACAAGAGCTGTCCGTAAGACAGCGCGCTCGACTTTTTTATTGCTTGCCAATAAAAAAAGTTTTTGCAGTAAAAGGCAATACAAGAATCTCTGTATTTTTAAAGTGAACAATGGCCATGAGCATTAAGATATTTAGTGAAGAATTATTTTACTGAATTGTGTGATACCCTTGAACACTGCAGCAAAGTTTGAAATGTTTAAGTCAAAAGAGGGCTGGTAAGAAAGAAAAAAAAACTGAGTTGAGTTTTTTAGTGCTTGCCTATAATACAAAACATTGACAGTTAAGGGCCATAATTCAAATAAAATCTTTGACAGAATTACCTTCTCCTGGACATGTTTGGGAATCATGATTGTAAACAAGTATTCCAACTTTCAAATTAATATCTCAAACAGTTCAGTCAAAAAGTGGACTGGTACTAAAAACTTAACCAAGATTCTAAGTCGATAAAAGGCCTTAATTTTTAAAACAAATCCTTGACAGAGTTACCTTCTCTTGCGTACAGATGGGGGTAATGATGTGAAATAGCATTAAAAGTTTCAAAGCAATATCTCAAAGGGTTAAGGCAATAAGTGGATTTTACCCATATTCAATGTATTTTCTAAGTCAAAAAGGGGCATAATTCTGTCAAAAACCTTGACAGAGTTATGTCCTCTTGTCTGTTGATGAAGGTCGTGATGGTAAACAAGTATGGTCAGTTTCAAAGCAATACCTCCAATGGTTTTGAAATAAAGTGAGGTGGTACAAAAAACTTAACCAAGCTCAATACACTTTCTAAGTCAAAAAAGGGCCATAATTCTGTCAAAAACCTTGACAGAGTTATGTACTCTTGTCTGTAGATGGAGGTTATGATGGTGAACAAGTATGGTAAGTTTCAAAGCCATACTTGTAATACTTCTGAAATAAAGTGGGGTGGTACGAAAAACTTAACCAAGGTGTGACGCCAACGCCGACGCCGACGCCGGGGCGAGTAGGATAGCTCCCCTTTTCATAGAAAAGTCGAGCTAAAAACCACTATTGGGTCCTTGAATCCTATAGCTACTAAAGAGCAGCATAGAGGCTTGAAAAGTTCCATATTTGTTGGAGCAACATCACAATGAAAATTATAAAGTACCAAAATGTTAAGGTCACCTTAATGTCTAATGAATTATGTATAACAAAATAATGCTAGTCTTGAACAAATAAAAGTCAAGATCATTCAGACATAAGGACTGATTTTTTAAAAAAAAACCATCTAGTCTGCATTATGATATCAAATGGTGTGTGACTTAGTGGCTTGTAAAATGATAAAGGCAAAATTGCGTGCAAGCTTCCATAATAACTTAAAATTTAATTTAAAAATCTGTGAAATTTAAAAAGCCCTTCTTTATTGCTCATTTATTCGTAATGTAATAATGAAAGCATTTTAATATAATATTGACAGAGATATTAAAAATGTTTTTACTAAATTACCCTGTCATAAAATTCAGGGTTTACGCTCTCCCGTAACCCCAATTTTCATATTAATACATGTACATTTGTGTACTTGATAAAAGATTGCTTTGTCAAGTTATGTTATTTGTATACATGTATAAATTATTGTAAATACCACAAAAAATCTACCTTTTTTCTTTTATTTTTGTAAAAACCAAGAAAAACCAAAAAAAAAACCTGCTATGTCAAATACAAGTAATTCATTATTCAAATAATTTCATTTTATCTCTAATAATGAGCCTATCATCTTCAATAATGATACAAAATCTGCAGCCATTATGTTTGCAATAATTTATTTTTACAAGCCGATATGAAAATTTACAGAAATAAAATATTTAAGAAACTGTTCAATTATTTCATTACTTTATTTATTTGAATACAATGTATATCAACCTAGTTTTATGACTATTTTACTTTTTTGGCATGCATATATGAGCCGCATCACAACAAAACCAGCATAATGGGTTTGCGACCAGCATGGATCCAGACCAGCCTGTCTGATCATGATCCATGCTGTTCGCTTACAGACCCTATAGCAAGTAGAGAAACTGATAGCGAACAGCATGGATCCTGATCAGACTGCGCGGATGCACATGCTGGTCTGGATCCATGCTGGTCGCAAACCCATTATGTTGGTTTTGTCATGACGCAGCTCATATAATGTATGTAAAGTAAATTTGCATTTTTATCTAACAACTGCAAATAATGTCAAGTATGTCACATTGTATTTGACACAAAAACACACTGCCTCATAATTAAGATACCAGATGCATGTGTCACTATTACCCCAAAAAACAGATTTATTAACTTCAAGCCTTCAGTGATTTTTGTTTCACTTTCTTAACAAATATACATCCTAAACAAACTTTTTGAAACTATTTCTTTCTTTTTTATAATTTTGGTTGGGTTTAACTGTGGCACAGACACAGTAGAGGCGGTATGGGGACTGGAGAAGGAACACCTGCATCATGCATTAAATAAGGAGTAAGTCGGCTCCAGAGTAGAACAACCAACATAAGCTAGCTTGATAGCTTCCTCACATGAAAGAATCCAAAGTCCATTGAGGGATTCCAACCTACAGCCTTGAGGGGCAGGTTTGAAGGCAACAAACCCCCTTGGCCAAAGGGAACCATTTTCTAATTCAGACTTAAACTGAGATACTCACTTACATAGTTACCAGGTTACAATTAAATGTCATTAACAACATTCACAGTAAATACTGTTTCTAGGATATTTGAATTATTTATTAATTATTCACAAATACAAACATGATTTATTTTAATGCATAATTGAGTTTGTTTTAACAAACACCCCTTTTGCAGATGGACTATAAAACACTTCCAAATTCAATACAGAAAATTTACTTGACACTGAATGTTACAAGACGGAAAAGCAACATGAAAATGGGTATTATTTATGAGGGAACATTATTTTGCTTGTGCATTTAAAAAGGTTAATCAATGCAATTACATTAGCACATAAAACAGCATTCATTCAAATGAAAATATTTCAATAATCTTACATAATATGCATACATTTAAATAAATTTGCATACATTTACATATATTTGCATAAAATGTGGCTAAATTTGATGCAATTGAGAGATTATTAGTAAAAGGACACACATGAGTACTGCATGACAGAAATACCTTTAAATAAATATTATAAACTAACAGAGACCCACAAAATATGAGGTACCAAACAAAAAGTTATTTATAAAATATATTTTAAATATAATTTATATACAGTTGACTCTCAATAAGTCAAAATCGCTTTACTCAAAATTCCGCCTTAGTCAAATAATTTCTAAAGTCCCGTCAAATTTCCTTCTTTATCTTTGTATTTTAACTCCGCTTAGGTCAAATTTTGACTTACCGAGACTCCTGTTTAGTCGAAAAGAAAAATTTTGTCCCTCAATTAAAGTATAACATATTTACATCTCAATAAGTCGAAGTGTGAAAACAACCGTCTGATCAAAGGTCGGCAACATCAAGGTGAGATGTTGTCACTCATGATTTACACGTTTCATAGTAATTTTTAATTGCCGGTCATCATGTATTATTAACACGTCGTAAAAGTGGCTTTAATCCGTTTCAGGACTTAATTGGTTTTAACAGTTAGATAACTAAATTAAAATTTAATTACATTTCTTAAAGAAAATTGACTCATGCCAGTCTGACGGGTGTAAGTCAAATAACAGCTTAGGTATTGATGTGTGTTATCAACGTAAAGGACATTTGTTTAATTGATTACCTGTCATATTTGTACTTCCGGTTCACGATAGTTGCTAATTTCGTTTTCGTCCGATGATGAATTAAATCAAATGTAATTGTGTGTTTCTGTTTCACTATTAATATACATGTATTAAATTTTGAATGATATATTTTTGTTCATTTATAATTTGCAGTTGTAAGTGTTTTACCGTCATTTCAATGGTTAAATATTGCAGCATTGCCGCTAACAACAATAACAAACCTACTCCTTTGCACATTCAATCAGGCACATGTATATACATGTAATGGTGGTAGTTCCACGTTACTCGAATTCCGTTTCTCTCGAAGTTAAATGCTCAGTCCCTTGGATTTCGAGTTACCGAGAGTCAACTGTATAAACTTGACAAATATTATTGTTGCCTTTTTCCTACGTAGACTTTTGTCCATTATACAAGACTGAATTAAGTTAGTATAATTAATCATCTAATGAAATGCACAATTAACATTAATGTACATGTCGAAATTACAGAGGTTAATTTAATAGGTTACTATGTAATACATGAAGATTGTTCAACATACATGTAGATGAGTAAATGTACTCTTTATTACAATTAAACTGATACAAGAAAAAAGCGGAACAGAAGCTGGACAGAAGTGGGACAGAAGCAGGACAGAGTTGGGACAGAAGTAGGACAGAAGCAGGGCAGAAAAGGGACAGAAGCAGGACAGAAGTTGGACAGAAATGGGACAGAAGAGGGATAGAACAAGGACAGAAGTGGGACAGAAGCGGGACAGAAGCTAGACAGAAGTGTGACAGAAGCAGGACAGATGTAGGACAGAAGTGGGACAGAAGCGGGACATAAGTGGGACACAAGCGGGACAGAATTGGGACAGAATCTGGACAGAAGTGGGACATAAGTAGGACTGAAGCTGGACAGAGGCAGAACAAAAGTGGGACAGAAGCGGGACAGAAGCCAGACAGAAGCTGAACAGAAGCAAAAGTGAAGTGGGACAGAAGTGGGACAGGAGCGGGACAGGAGCGGGACAGAAGCAGGACAAAAGTAAGACAGAAGCGGGATAGAAGCTACACAGAAGCTGGACAGAAGCAGGACAGAAGCAGGACAGAAGTGGGACAGAGGTTGGACAGAAGTAGGAGAGAAGTGGGACAGAAGCAGGACAAATGCGGGACAGAAGTAGGGCAGAAGCGAGACAGAAGTGACGTGACAGAAGCAGGACAGAAGTAGAAGAGAAGTGGGACAGAAGCCGGAGAGAAGCAGGACAGAAAGGGACAGAAGCAAGACAGAAAAAGGACAGAAGTGCATAAATTAATAGGAAGATGTACATGTTAATGTTTCAAAATTTTTTCATTATATATGTTATGTTATGTATACCCTCATAATATAATAGCTGCATGTATGATTCATTATTTACCTTCCCAATACTGATTTCTGAATTATTCAACAAGAGATTATGTATGAAAATTTAGTGTTTGAACCCATAAGATAAAATGAAACAAAGTTAACGGGAAAAGGAGATGTGTCACCAAACAAAAGCATAAATTTTAACAAAGTTATTTCACTTTGTCATATTTCTGACCTTTACCTAGAACAGTCAATTAAAAGCATTTAAAAATTACCAATTTCAGTTTGACCTATTTAATACAACTTAACATAAAGGTCACATTGGCATTCACCGTTGACTATGTGACTCTTGGGCAATTTGGACCTTATGCCCTGTTTTTAATTGTTCATTCATACTAATTATATACCGTAGAAGTAATGCGACATGAGTAACTGGATGGAATTACTTCCCTTTCCTCAATAGATCAAGAATAAAAAGTTTCACTACTTTTGTTCTGTTTTCTTTGAACAAGCCTGCAGAGCTCAATAAGAGCGCAAGACTTGTAATCTCAACATTGTGGGTTTGATTCCAAGGGTGGCCAACTAATTACTTATCAGCCATTCACACTTAAGAACCCCAAGCTTCTGGAATTCGGCATCTATCTGTTTCAGTATCTTGCACTATCGTCTAAAATCTAAAATGACTAATACTCTTATAAAGGACTTGGCAATCAGTGGCGAGTATAAATAAACTTCAATACACAAATAAATTCTATTTTGAAATGAAAATTTCTGACTTACCCATCTGACCTACTTAAATTTCTCCACTCTGGACACAATCCGGGTTGACAAAACTCTATCAATGCACTGTAAAGTAAACAATGGTGAAATGATAAAGATGTTGACTAATGATGAATCGTAATGAAGTACAGCATGATGATGATTTTTATTCATTAGCAGGATGATAATGATAATTATGATAATGATAGCTGTTGATGTTGATGATGATGATGATGATGATAAATGGTGATGTGATAAATTTTGTTGATGTTGTTGATGATGATGATGATGATAGATGTTGATGAAAAAGATGATGAATATAATTGATGATGATGAATATGATGATAATAAATGATGAATTTGATGATGATAAATGATGATGAAGATCAGGAGAAGATGAATGTCATGATGATCTGTAAAATCTAATGAGATGAATTGGAAAAATTTTACCATCCTTGTAATTTAAATTTCAATATTCAATCGGGACCATTACTTTATTTCACATCTTGAAACTATAAACATTTCTTTGATAAAAAGAATAATATTGGCCAATATTCATAGATTTGATCAAAACATTTCCAGGGTTCATCACTAATATCCACATTTCTGATTTTGAATGTAATGCCAAAAACAAAAAATACTCTGAAAATGCCCAACTGTAAAATGTAATTATAGCAATGAAATACAATCACATCTAATACTGATCATAGAATTATTACAGAAACTTACTGTAGAGCAATGCCGTCGTTCCAATCTGACGTAAAGTTTGTAATGTTGCATTCTGGGATGACAGCCTGTAACCAGCATATCATCAACTTCTTTGTCGGGAATCTACTTTTTCCGATCTGGTACCGCAAGATAAGATGCCATATTAGACCGAGGATAAGCTTAAGGTTGCCATCAACAACATCTTCTGGTCCTGTAAAAATAACAATGCATTGTATCAAAGTAAAACAACTAAGGTTTTATTGTAACACGAGTTTGAACATAACTTTTTGCATAAGCAGAACTTACGTACAGTGTAACTTCCGAAAACCGAACACCCATGGGACTTGTCAAAAAGTTCGGATTTCAGAGGTTTCCGGAATTCAGAGGTTTATGATAATGTGGACAAGACTAAGCCACTTAATATCACTAAATGTCAAGGAAGATGTGGCCATTACTGTAATATCATATCAGTTTGTAGAAATGTTGTCAATTGCATAAACTTACATATCGTCCGATGTTGGTTAATTAATTATTACATCAAATGCAATAAAAACCCAAAAGACGTTTGATGCATACATTGTCCAATTAATTGTCATTTACCGCTAATAAACACTTCAAATTAACTGACCTGATTAACCGCATCACTTCAAACATACCATTTCACAGTTTGTGATTTAAACGCGTGTCAAATTACATGATCACCGCTAATTAGTAAATAATCGATAGGAAGATTAAATCTTCCTGCAGGGTAAACATTCTCTATTAACAATGTTTTTTCATACCTTTGGATATTTCCGGTTTTTGGAGGTAAAATTGCACTGATTTGACTCTAATTTTACGAAAATATCGTCCGGAATTCAGAATTTAGAAGTTCCGGAATTCAGAAGTACATGTATTATATTTATAGAAAATAGAAGGGAAAAATCGGGACCGAAAAAATTGTTCGGTTTTTAGAAGTTTCCGGATTTCAGAAGTTCCGGAATTCGGAAGTTACACTGTATTTAGTTTGAACATAACTTTTTGCATAAGCATAACTTATATATTTAGTTTGAACATAACTTTTTGCGTAAGCAGAACTTACGTATTTAGTTTGAACATAACTTTTTGCGTAGGCAGAACTTACATATTTAGTTTGAACATAACTTTTTGCGTATTTAGTTTGAACATAACTTTTTGCGTAAGCAGAACTTACGTATTTAGTTTGAACATAACTTTTTGCGTAAGCAATACTTACGTATTTAGTTTGAACATAACTTTTTGCGTAGGCAGAACTTACGTATTTAGTTTGAACATAACTTTTTGCGTATTTAGTTTGAACATAACTTTTTGCGTAAGCAGAACTTACGTATTTAGTTTGAACATAACTTTTTGCGTAAGCAGAACTTACGTATTTAGTTTGAACATAACTTTTTGCTACTAAGCAGAACTTATGTATTTATTTGCTTTTCACTACATTTTCTAAGCTACACATTTGCGTAAGTTTAAACCGAAAGTTACCCTTACTCATTGCTGGCGTAAATTGCATGTTCTGTTAAGTGAAACGCAACTAACATAATTTTACATTTTGTGTAAGTCCAAATTTACGTAAAAAGATACGCAAAACTTACAGAATGTAAGTGAAACGCTGGCCAGCTGAATAACCTGTGGAAAAGCTGCAAATGAAGCAGCATATTGAATTTTTTTAAAGCTGTATAATATTATTACTGGCAATTGGTGACAGATTTTGCAGTATATATCACCATATTTCTACTGTGTGACTAACACAGCAAGGGCTTTTTTGCATATTTTGGTATGGACTGAAAGCTTCGCTTAAAAATATTTTACTTTTTAATACATTTTTAAAAGCTTCATAAAAAATTAACAAGAATCTAGAGACATGCTGCTTTAAGTTATACATCCCTGAACAGATGCACAACACCATAATTATGTCACATTAGTTCTGACAATTCTATGTAAAAACACACAACAGAAAGAGCTGATTTTTTTTTTCTGACTAATAATAAGTGCATTGTCTGGTTGACTTCTATAAAGACTTAATCACACATGCATGTTCAAGAATATGATTTACAATTGTTTTGTATAAAATAAACACTCCAAATATTTTAATATACACTTAAGATAACAGAAAAAGTCTTCCTTTTTTAAGATTAATGTACCTTTCAAAAAAGTTTAATATTTATTGCTTTTAAAATGGTAAATAATATACGGTAAACAGCCCAACAGGTTTTCTTTACGCATTAGGTCTTAATTAAAAGGTGGTCATTAAAACAGTTTGACATGTCACATGCCACTTCATAATTACAGATTTATTTCCTTAATATCTATATCATTTCTCTCTTTACCAAAATTATAAAAACTGAATAAAATCTGGCAGGGGAGGTAATAAAACATATATTAACATATCAATAGGTACTATATCACTAATAATCAATATTTTAATATACACTACATCGATACAACATATTATATGGCTGAAACAATTATATAACTATCCATCATTTCTATCCAGACAAGGTGTCACAGACAGTTTAATTCATAACAAGTCATTTTTCTCATTTTCTATACTGACCATCATGATAAATTATTATTATAAAATCTACAACTTAAGAAGTACTGTTTATTCCTGGGCTGACTAGGAAGCTTAAGACTTAAGACTTTAGGACTAAATACATATTTTGTATATCCACTGTATTTTACCTCTGTAGAGCAATAACTCTCGCAAGCATCCAACTTGCATAGGTCTCCCAATAATTGTTGCTCTGCAAAGGTCATACTGTCCTTATGACAGCTGGAAAGTCACCTAAATATCTTAAGAATGAATAAAATTCAAATCAAGTAAAAACAACTTCATTCCAGACTAAAGTCCAGTCATGAGGTGGCCATATGAATATTTATTGCAATATTTTTAAAACATCATTATTTATTTTTCTTCAATCTGTTTCAAACTATATTTCACTCTCTTCAATCACAATGGTGGAAATTCTATCCATACAAAATATATGGCCAAGCCAACCTGTTAGTCTGCATTACATCTTAACTAAGACAATACTAAGATAGTTTCACCTTATATTTTGTTTGTTTGTTTGTTTCATTTTACGCCTTTTTCCAACAGTATTTCAGTCATATAGGCGGGTAGTTTCCTAACCATCGTTCCTGAAGAGTTATACCAGTATTAGACTACCTTCCTCCGTGCTAAACTACCAAAGCATCTCCCAGGGATCAAACCCACGCCAGAGAGGTAACGGGATTAGAAGTCATCGACTCTAACCCCTCTACCACGGAGGCAGTGGTTCACCTTATATAACAGAAACCTATGAAAAGCCTCTACCTAATCAAAATTTTCTTCAAAAACTTCTCCAAAATCAGAACCAGCTATTTTATTTGAAGTTCAAAAATTAGCGCTTTTAGTGAAAATTTTCCCCAAAATTAAGACTTCCTAATTAAATGAGAAAATTGAAGCATTGCATTTAATTGAAAAATAATCTGCATAATATTAGTATTATTATTTCAAAATCTCTTAAATTGTGTTACATATGGATGATATTAATCATACAAGGGTGGTGTGTAAAAATAACTTAACATAATTATATGAAATCATTTTTGTAAAATCACAAACAAAATTTTTAATATTTAACAAGCTTTTCTTACTTCAGGTATATAAATACTCATAATACTCATAATGTATTAAATGTTTATATGCCTATAAAATTCATACAATGCACTTCCATATGTAAGCAAATTCAAAAAACTGCAACCATGCAAAAAGATCTGTGAATAGGTTAAGATAACCATCTTTTTTTTATAGTTCACTAACTGATTTTTGACAGATCCCAACAAATCACATGAAAAAAGCATAGTGATGTATCCTAAGATAAATGAGAATAAAGACAAGATGTGGTGTGTTGCCTTAAGGAAATTACATTTAATGAAGGCTGTCTAAACAATCCATTGAGTCTGTCAACACACCCCTCTTCATTTTATAGCTATACCATATGAATTTTCATTGTTTCACCTTATATGCACTGGAAACTCAACTTCAACAGCATAATGTTTTACTGAGTTGTTTTTTGTATTTCATTTTATCTGACAATACATATTCATTTTTTATAAACATTCAATTAAAGGCAATTTAACTATTTCATAAAGAGAGCAAAAATACACTGTCACATCATCCTATAATTGTCCTACATGTTTTATCTTAAGCTTGAGAAAGCTGACAGGTTACAGGTAAGTTTAAGGACCTGCAGCTGTTAGACAGTTTGAGCGTTATAAGGAACTTAAGTTTTTAAAGGAACTCCATTGAGGTCCAAAGGCCTAAAACATAAAATTTGAATTTCTTACATAAATTAGACGGGGCACTTAAAACTGATAAATATAAAAAAAAAGATAATAAAGAATTATACCCAGAATTATAATTCAAAATCTTATTTTGTGCTATAAATCCCAGCTCGATTTGAGTGAAAAATGTTGCATGCAGTGCTTTTCAATTTTGGGTCATTTTTCATAATCAAAATAAATATTCTGGGAAAACAAAGTGAGCAAATGATCTGAAATTTTGCACACAATCATGGAAATTGCATGGAGGTAAATTATTACCACTTTATGCTTCAAAATTAACTCTTTAAGGGCATGACTGGTGACATGTCCGGGGTCCATACTCAACAGCGAAAACTACATTTACTAAGCGGATGGACCTTCATTAAATAGCATAAACTACATACATACACAGAGATAAGCCTTTGGCACCAGTATAGAGCCAGGCTTAGCTGCACATCCATACAGTTCAACCAGACTCTATACTGATAGAAGTTGAAACTTTGACTTAGACCCCCCCCCCCTGCCACCCACCCACCACAACTATACCTTCCCTAGTCTGGTCAGAAATACATCTCAAATATATGGTCTAGATTATAAAACAATACAGTATTGTTAAAACAATTAGATTACAAATTATAACAGTACTTTAACTGTATTCACAAGACTAGACCAGATCAGGTTACAACTATTGTATTTTGTATTTATTATTATATTTTCCTTAATCATAAACATGCTTATTATTATTGTAAATTGATACATTGTTGCTGTTTTTGTTAAAATTAGTACTAGGGTATTTTACTTCCCATTGATAGGTGGCTCGAAAAATAAAACATAAGAGCAGCAAAAAAAAACAACCCAGCCAATTCTTGCTATTCAATCCTTAAAGAAAGAAAT